TGCAGTGTACACACGTTAATTTAATTTTATCTTCACGTTTTTCGCGTAATTTTTCGGAGCTGCTTTCAATGACATCCACAACCGGCGCCATCTTTTTTACTGTTCGTGAGGCTGGTTTCGTTGTTTTCATTGAGAAATGTAATTTTTGCCAACCAGAGCTGAAATATTTGGGCTATTTGGTTGATAGTAAGGGTCTGCTTCGTCTTGATCCAGAAAAAGTAGAGACCATCGTCAATCTTCTTCCGCCTCGAAATATTAATGAAGTCCGTCGTTTTATAGGAACCGCATCCTGGTATCGTTGTTTTGTTCCTGATTTTCTTCTCTTTTGTCACCCATATTGAATCTCAATAAAAAGAACGTTAAGTGCAATTGGACCACAGAATGTCAAAACTCCTTCACTGCCTTTAAGGAATGTTTAGGCACACAGCCCCTGTTTTGACAGCTCTCAATTTTGAGTAGCCATTTTATCTGCACACGGATTTGGGGCCGTTCTTCCTCAAAAATTTGACGAAGATGAAAAGGTCATTTGCTATCTATCTAGACAGGAAATGAAACTATCGGTCACCGAGAAGGAATGTTCAGCGGTGATCTGGAGCGTTGAGAAACTTCGTCAATATCTAAACCATGTCCACTTCGCTATCATAACTGACAATGCCTCTCCGTTATGGTTACATAGGTTAAAGGATCCTCAAGGTCGTTTGGGTCGTTGGCAACTCCGTTTGCAACAATTTGATTTTGATTTATTCCATCGTAAAGGTTAAGATCATATTGTCCCTGATTTTCTTTGCAGATCAGTCACCATTTCTATCGAGTCTATTCAAATCTTCTAGATTTGGAGAATAGAGATGAGGCAAAGTATCGACAAAAAGAAATCGGGTAAAATTTTTGAGTACCAAAAATTGCACACAACAATATAATTAGAGAAAAATTACAACAGCTGACGACTAATGATAACAACAACAAGTAATTAACCACTAGAACAATCATAATTTCAAGAACACGACAATGAACACGACAGAGATAACAAAACCTGTGAGCTTAGCTGAAGAATAGGACTAACATGGGCTGCCCTCGGCCGGTTGAAACATGTATTCAAATCAGACATTCCAGTCTGTCTGAGGCGTAAAGTTTTTGAACAGTGTATCCTTCCAGTACTGATATACGGCTCAGAAACATTAACATTGACACAAAAAACGATCAACAAAATAGGAGTTGCCCAACGAGCCATGGAATGAGCTGTTGGGGGTGACGTTGCGAGACCGAATTCACAACGAAGAACTGAAGTTGCAGATGCTTTTGAGAGAATAACAGAGAATAACACACCTAAAGTAGAATTGGGCAGGCCACGTCGCAAGAATGACAGATGATAGGTGGACGAAGAAGATATTGGAGTGGCAACCTAGAGGTGCTGCACACAGAAGCCGGGGTAGACCGCCGAGTCGATGGACAGATGATGTCAAGAGAATATCTACAAATTGGATCCAAGATGCCCAAGACCGAGCAAGATGGATTGGGTTGAGAGAGGCCTATGTTCAGCAGGGGACGAGACATGGCTGGTTCATGATGATCATTGAAAATAAGGCAGTATTTTTATTTCAAAAAATGGCATGTCGGATTCTCCCAGGACAAACCGCATCTCGTAATCTTTTCTCGTTTTCGAGATATTTACCTGCAAAATGTGCCAGTTCACCTAAGGACACCCTGTATTATTACAATATACAGTATCTAAAAATATGATAGATAGGCGAATCTTACTTTAAAATTACGTCATGAAAGCCACGTCATATTTCTCGTCGAAAATCGATTTGAAAAACTAATAATAAAGTACTTTCTCTAATGCTGATATGACGTAAAAGTAACGTCATAATTTCACTACAAACTGACGTTTTGATGACATTGTTATTGTAATATCTGTAGGACGACAAAGGCAAGCCTGCGGCTTTTGAAGAATCTTCATAATAATTGTTTGATCAAAAAAATTTGACATTTCAGTCAATTTTTTTTTAACGTTGCATAAAAGCTGTTTCGTCTTTTCAAGAATCCTGAAATTTCCGCTCAAAAAGGAAATTGGCAACACTATTGTCATTTATGTGCTCGCTCACTCACGACGGTCAGACTGCCGGATTATAATTTACGAGTCGAGTCGAAATTCGTATCGAATTGTCAAAAAAGCGATTCTATTTTTCGATGCGTTTTACACGGTACGTCCGGAGCTGTCGTATTCGATATCGAGTGTCATAACAGACAATTCGAATCTACTCGTAAAATAGAATACGGGCTCTGGATTTAGGGCGAGTTCTCATGAGCGTAAGTTGACATTTCTGGCGTAATCACGTGATGAAATGTATGGGTTTTATTGGTGAAATATTCGCCATGCTGGATATTTTACCAATCAAATTACACCATATATTATCACGTGATTACGCCAGAAATGTCAACTTACGCTCATGAGAATTCGCCCTTAATATTTGAAAGTTTCCTTCACAGTGTTGCCATTTTTCTAGAACAAAAGTCCGTTAAAACATCTCAAAACTTGCGTAAAAGGAAAACAAACCGACAATACATGCATGCGTTCGATTTGTTTTCCACAAAATGCTAAATAATGTCATCCAGATAGCAGAAGCAGTGCTGGTCTATGTCTGGACTAATGACGCCATCCATCACGCGCTGAAAGGTCGCTGGAGCGGAGTGTAAGCCGAACGGCATTACCTTGAACTGAAATAATCCCCGAGACGGAACGGTAAAAGCGGTTATCGGTTGGCTTTCTTTAGCGAGCGGCACCTGCCAGTATACTTGTTGATTTTCTAAAAAAATCCTAGAATTTCCGTGGATAGAAAAATGAAATTACATTCTCAGGCAGCAGATTGCCGTCATTTTGACGTTCGTATTTCGCCATCCCCTCTGATATTAAAGGATGTTATACGGAAGTAGAATGACACGAATTGTCAATTATTCACACCACAAACTATGTCATGTAAAGACGTTATTTAAACATAATCTGTAAAGATTTTCAATGAACGTCAGAAAATCGACGAAAAAAAATACGTCAAATTAACGTCAGTTTGTTGCTTAATCGATCCCTTGACATTAAAAAAAAATCTGTTCTAAATAACGTGGCGCGTCCGAGGTTCCGACAACTTTAAGAAATTAATGTCATGACTAACGTCATACCTTCCATAGTTTGAAGAAAAATGTTACGAAAACATGACGTCTAAATAACGTTTATGACGTCATGAAAATTTACATTAATTATCTTAAATAAAATATGGTTGAGACCTGCACGAGGGATCAAGCGCTCACGAATTGAGCAAGGTGCTTCGGGCTTGTTTAAAATCTTTATCATTAATATACAAAAGTGCAGAATCTTACGAGAATCCATCCGAAGCCAGTTTAATTCAGCCAACGTATGAGATATATGGTCAAATTTTCTAAGCCCAAAGATGAAACGCGCACAGGCGTTCTGCACCCCTTGTATACGAGATTTACTCTCAAAATCCAGGCAAGGACCATATACCATATCACAGTTATTGAAGTTGGAAAATAGAAGAGATTCACAAAGCGATTTTCTAAGTGTAAGATTTAACATATGTCTGTTATTGTATAAAAATTTTAAAGTTGTATATGACCTTTGAAATATTTTTTTCAAATGTTCTTTAAACCGTAATTCACTATACAGAATCAACCCCAAATTTCTAGCAGAATAAACAACTGGTAATCTTACATCGTTTAGTTTAATATTAATATTATCTTTTAGGAAATCAACTTTATTTTTGTTACCAAATAACAGTAGATAAGATTTGGATGGGTTTAACAATAAGGTATGTTCATTTGAGAGATTGATTAAAGTTTTTAAATCCTGGTTAATAAGTGTTTCAGAGTCTAAATACCCCTCACAGCAATAGACCTGTGTTTGTCATCCGCATAAGCCGAGACCTTGCAGTAATTTACCGACCTTAAAAATATCAGACGTATAGATAAGAAAAAGTAACGACCCCAATACTGAACCTTGCGGAACACCGGACATTATATCGAAGTCAACAGAGTACCTATTCTCAGAAAAGATTGATCGATGGCGATCCGCAAGATATGAGGCCATCAGCTGACAAGATTCCTGTTGGAAACCATAGAACTTCAATTTGGAGGCCAAAAGCTCATGGTTGACGACATATGCTTCCGTTGAGTTTCTGAACTGAGTAAAAATTCTGATCAGGAAAAAAATGACTTTTTGAACTGAGTTCCAACATGCTGAAACCTCAAAATAACTAAACTGCAAACTGGCAAAGTTATGTTTTTTTTTGAAACATTGATTTATGAGTAAAATATACTTTAAGAAAATATTGATGAAGTTGGAGGAAATAAATTTAAATTTGTAGAAGTAAGATGAACTGCAAAAGAATTTCGGGGAAGTTCCCACTTTCATTCAAGGAAGATATTGAGAGACCAATTCTGAAAAAGCATTGAAGAAGTTTTGGAAGTTTGGGAAAAATTTAAAAAAATCTTATTCTGTTTCATAAAGTTAACAATAGATGTTCCTAAATCCTCTCACCCGCAGATGCTTAAAAACACACTTTCACTTTCCAGCATCAAACTCGTAAACTCATCCAACAAGAACGATTATCGCCCTCATCATTGAGGTCATTTCCTCGGATTTTCCCCCATTTCTCTACAATTTACCCTCCTAGTTTGAGCGAACCATGTAATTTGATACTTTTGTTAGCATCTTCGTTTCTTTTAGGAATAGCAGTTTGTCAGGATGTGGAAAAGAGGATGTTTACACCTCATATTTCCGATAAAGTTGCTTTTTTTTCCAATTAAAAACTAGTTCCTCTATCTCTTTCTGGAAACTAGGTCAAACAAGGGTGGTTTGTTATTTATTTATAACATTCAAATGATGACCTATATAACGTTTTATCTACTAAAGTCACCAATAAAATTACAGGTTTCGCACATTTTCTGAATCAAACAGGTTCGTGAAAAAAAAAAACATTTACAACACTCACCTAAACAAGACGCCATCCCTGTCCAAAAAAAACCGACCTTTCGAATCTTTCTCGACGGGTTCGGCTCCGGTGAAAATCCCGTAGAGTTTCGAGTTCGGATGGCTGATCAGAGTTTTTAAAGTTGTCGTATAAATAACTCCGCCAACGTTCAAATCGATTACGGAAGAAAACTCCGACATATTTGGTCTGCGACGTCGAAACCCGGACTGGAAACTCCGTCTCGTTCGCGCTACTCCCGGTGTATATAAAGATCGCCTCTGTGTGCCGCGAGATGAACTCCCGGTTCGCACATACTCTCTCGGTCGGGACGTCAATTTTCAATATTTATGGTTTTTGGACAGTGGTTTTGACCACATTAGATTTGGATTAGGTTTAATGAAGATTTCAATTATTAACACTCAAATATAGGTAGTTTTTTGGCTTAAATACTTACATTATTTAGTTTAGGGAGTTTTGGCATAAGAGAGCGCCATCAGTGTTTCTGGAACGATCGATTATGTTGGGGGCAGGAGCGTTTTAGATGATTTATGATGAAGATTTATTTGATTTATTTTTTCATCAGAAAAAAAAGACACAGTGGAGAGTCAAATGTTGATGGATGGATTTAATAAATTTAGCTTTGTCTCTCACGAACAATAATTTTACTTGGATGTGTTACTTACTTATTGTTTTCATTCAAAATTTCGAATGTTCATTAGCAGCTCTTAAGCTGATATTAATCAAAATTTCTTCTTCCGCAGTTTCTAATTGGCCCAAGAAAAATTATCCAATGGATCAAGATCCACAGATACAGGGGCGGATGGGGAGCATAAAACCGGCCCGGGAAACCGTTGGCACCGGCCCGGCCTGCCAGATCAGTATTTTATTTTGGGGGCTGTTGTGAATGAATCGGTACCGTTGCTGTAAGCAATAAGTAAACGCAGGACAGATGTGAAGAAGTAGGAAGTAAAAGATTGATGTACAAACTTAGAACGTTTTCACAATGAGAAATATTATATTATTCTGACAAGTACAACTACAAAACTTCAATGTCATAAATAATAAATCATATATCAAAATGTACAGGGAAACTTCTCAGCTGATGTATTACTAAACTTAAACTTCTGTCTAGATAATGGCTTAGTGCAAATGTCAGCCGTCATCTTATTTGTTGGAAGATGTGCTAACTGAACTTCACCATTTTCAATCAAAAATTTAATGAGCGAAATTACCAAAAAGCAACAAACTTGAATAAAACCAAGAGAATAATTTTGCCTACATAATTTTTTCGTGAGTGGTATTCGGCTCAACTATTTCACGAGAGAAACAAGCCAAATTTTCATTTGGAAAATTTATTTTCTTCAGGTGACACACATTAACCACACAAAATTTTGTCGCTGAAAAACCATCATCCGCGTGTGGCTAAATTCAGCTGGTTTAGGCACCATGGTGGAATGGTAGAACAAGTACTGTTGTTAAATTAAACAGGGTTTGACAAGCTGTCGTTTAGCATTGGCATTAGTGAATTTTGATCACCGCATCCGTGGCGGTGCACCATTTTGGTGAATTTAGCAACACGCGGCATGTTGGTTTTGTCCAGGTAGGAACAGGTAGGTAGGAGTTTTGTCAGTAGGAAACCGGCCGTTCCTATGACATTTTGCCAGTGTAAAACACTCTAGTGAAATAGTCATACCTATATTATATCACAAGAGCTTTAAATTTAATCGATTAAACATATTTTGAGCATGATTTTGCTTGGAAAATAGTTGAATGCGCAATAACTTAATTTATTTAAAAGTTATTGTGCATGAAACTATTTGCCAAAAAGCAAAATTATGCAAAAAATATTTGGATAGTTTAATCCATTTAAATTTATAGGTCGAGTGGTATACGGCTAGATTATTTCCTGAATAATTAGGATTGAATTGTTGGCGTCAATCCTATCCAAAGAATTCTATTTATTATAAAATGTCAGAACATTTCTATCAAAATTCTGTCAAAAAAGGTAAACAAAAATTTAATCGCTCATAAACAAGGTCTAGAGAAATAATCACTTATTTAAACAAAATTCATTCAAAAAATGACGTTGTCTGATGGGTCTATTTTATAACGAATGAAATAATCATTGTAAACTTTCACAGGTTTTGAAAAATTTACAGGTTCTGATAACAATCCTTTTAAATGTATTGCTTCTTTTGCAGAATCACTGATTGTCATATATTCAGCTTCAAACGAAGACATGGCGACTGCAGTCTGTTTGCGACATTCTCAAGAAACAACTGCATCAGCATATTTGAAACGAAAACCAGTGTATGACTTTCGATTTGTCGCATCATTAGCCCAATCTGCATCGTTGTATCCAGTCAATTCTTTTTCAGATTTCCGATAAACTAATGCTCTGTCTGTTGTTCCTTTAAGATATATTGACATTGTGGCGACCCCAAAAATTTCGAGGTGCTAAAATCCCAGAAAATATAACTAACTCAATTGGTAAAAACATTTTTGTAGTCATTTTCATTAGAAAACGTCAGTTGCAAGATAAGTTAATCTCATCTTATTAAATCTCCTAGCAATCCAGCATCTAATTCCGTAAAAAAATAGTATAAATAAAAAATGACAAAATTTCTAAGCTCAACTCAAATTATATAACAATTTTTTTCCAACGCAAGCGATAAGCGACCGGATGTCAGAGTTCGATGTCCCCATTTAATAGACTCTTGCAACATTCGGATAAACAAAAAAAATAAAATCGATAAAAGATTATAAAATTACGACGCGTTTAACCGGAAATCACCATACTCATGTGATTTAATTGCGTCCTAATTGATAAACTACAACACCGGTGCTTCCGCCGGATGTTGCATCATTTCCTAAGTAAAAACAATTCTTGGAAAACAACAATGTCGTTTATCACTTGATAAACGAGGTCAAATAAGAGGATTGGTTCGAGAAATGCTAAATGACCGCCCACGTAACAGATTTTTGGTGGGAATTGAGTACTATTTAAGGAGCTTACAATCAGAAAAGAGATAACATCCAGCAGTTGATTTGATAGTAAGATTTCAAGAATCAAGAAAATTGCAGTGAGTCTCCACCAAATTTTTTTTTTTAATTTTAGTTTTGCCTCGGGCATGGATTGTTTCAATGAATGATCATTGAAGTAGGAATTGTTAATATGAAATTTTTCTTTATTTGTCGTGTGCCTAGGTTGTGCTGAATTCTTAGGCTGAATTCTCCTAATTGATAGTGCTGATTCAGTAAATAAAATATGTACGAAAACTATTATACAGTTGTTTGTCTCATTTGCAAATAGACCCCCTCCACCACATAATTTTGTAGCAACCCGAGGAAATAATTAACATCAAATAGAACCGCTCGCCATTTACCATCTAACTAATTAATAGAGTACTTGGGTGGATTTGCTACAATAAGTTAAAAATATTACACAAAATTTCTGATAAGACATATTTACAATTTCTCAAAAAGAGTACTGGAATTCCATTAGGACCCATTCCCAAATTTTCCTTAAAAATATTTATTTCATTAAAAACATCAATAATTGACATTTTTAAATAATTCAAGTTTACAAACTTTTCACAAATAAAGCCAAAATCCGACAAAGGAGTATCAAATTGTGAGTATACCGAGGAAAAATGTTCCTTAAACAATTCTGCAATATCCTGTGCATCATCAGTTTCCCGCCCATTAAAGAACATGCACTTTGGGTATTCTGCATTGCCTTTTTTTGAATTTATTTAATTCTAAAAATTTCGCTTGTCATGTAACTGGTTTTCCAAACATTGAATGTAGTTCCTGTAAGAAGGCTGGGAAAGATAACGACATTGATTTCTTAAATTAGAAAAATAATTATAATCATCTTGTGACTGTGAGGCTTTATATTTTTTGTGAGCCTCCTTCTTTCATATTATTGAATATTTAAGTTCTGCAGACATGCATTTTGGACTTTTGAACCTTGAAAGAGGCGTAAATGATTCAATGATATTATAGATTATTTTATTTTATAAAATTGCGATACTGCCACATTGATGTTGGTACACTCAGATATGAAACTCTAAGAAATACAAAAATTCAGCTCATAATAATCAGCGTTTTTAAAATTAAAGTAAAAATAGTCACATGAAAAATTAGACAGATTTTCAGTTACATTACTGTGTGCAAAAGCCGGATGTGGCATATCCAGTCTTAGAACCGTATTATCACATACAAAAACTTTGATATCTGGTTGATTGCAAAACAGTAGGTCAAGAAAGTTTCCATATATATTAGGCACATCAATTGATTGGAAATACGCAACACAGTCAGCCACCACTGTGACTTCTCTTGATAGGGGTCCAGTGGGTACTGAACCAGCAGCCGTTTTTTCCCATTTTATATTGGGAAGGTTGAAATCTCCCCAAATAAAGACGTCACTGAAGGTATTGTTGTCAATTAAGTGTATAAGAGAAAAACCAAAGTCATCATAAGTGTTATAAGTAGATACACCTAGAATGTAAGCAATACCCACTAGGATTTTTTGTGAGTCTACTGTGACCGAAATAGATAAATGCTCAACACTTACAATGGGGTATAACAAAGCTCTAGAAGATAGGGAATTTTTGACAGCAACCAAGACTCCACCCTGCGTCTTGCAGGTGCTAGTCATTGTCGATCTATCACATCTGTATATGGTTACCAGGTACCATCCAGAGTTCACTCGTTAAAATATCACAATCCAGAAAAGTCTCCGTTAGCAAAATAACATCAAAGTGCTCCACAACTACATTGCACATCAAATTTTTAATTTTTGTTCTCACTCCTCTGACATTCTGATAATAAAATTTCAGAGCCCCTGATGATAACTGAGGGATATTTGAAACTTTCCATTTTGAGTAGGTGCATTTAGATTATGATGTTTTTTCCTGAATGTTAATGGTCTAGCAATCACATTCTCTGGCCAAAAGCTTTTATTTATAAGGCTCTCATAGTAAGTTTCAGTTACGCCAACTTTAAATGACTTTGATCTGGCCTTGGACGGTAGTTCATGCATAACCAGAGCACCTGCTTCTATAATATTAGCCTTCTGTTTGATGTAATCAGATAGCATCTCAAGTGTAGCATTCTCACTAACTCTACTCAGAAACAACCACTTTTTGCCAGGTACGCCCCGAAAAAGACACTCTGGGGAAACATAAGGGGCAGTTGCCCCGTTACCAATAACATCAGAAGAAGCTCAGCTATTTTTATTTTGTTTTGCTTGGTTCTGTCCAATAATGGTGGGAGAATTGTTTGGACGAAAGCATCATCAATTGCCTCTACAGCCTGACTGTAGGTAATTACCGAGCTTTATTGGAATCTGAAGATGAAAAAGCTGAAAACACTTTCTTACTTGTTTGTCTTTCCTCTGTGTTTTTGTTTTGTTTTGATTTGAAGTTAGGGAAAGATGTTCTTCTTTTCAGTGGGGACCGGGCCGTTTGTTGTTGTCTGTCAAACGGTGGATAAAGAGATGTGTGAGGAAAGCAGGATGAGTTGTTATTGTTTACCTCTAGCCTAACCTCGCTTATTTCAAAAATTTCAATTTTTTTAACCAATTTCTCGTTTTTTCTCTCGATCTCAACCAATTTTGCGTGCAATAGCTCATTGTTCTCCATTAAGGTCAATACCAATTTATTCAGGATATCATTAACATGATTCACATCTTCAACACTCTCATCCTACCCTTTTGGCGGGCAATTTGGACAAAAAACAATACCTATTCCAATGGTTCTTGCGCCCTTTACACGTACCAAACACGAGGGATGGAATTGCCTAGGGCATTTCTCACATTTAAGCTCAGTTTTTACTACACAAAATCTTGTCGATATTTCCGGACGACAAAACTTATTGACAATCCCTCCCCGCCATCTTGGATTTAATCAGTCTCACTTGCTTGTTGTTCATCATTCGCCTTATCGCGTCCAATCTCATTTTTTTAATTAAAATACAATATCTCTAGCTCTGCATATCTCATTTGTTTTTGGATTGAAAAGTCTATATCCAATGGCTTTTTCAGAATACCCAACAAATACCATTTTCTGGCTTCTGGGATCCAACTTTCGTTGTTTCTGATCTGGTATATGAACATACGCTATTGATCCAAAAAGTCTTAAATGGCTGAGATTTACTTTTCAACCACTCCACTTTTCTTCTGGTATCATTTCCTTGATCAATTTTATTGGTGATCGATTGATCAAATATATTGACAGCTTCAGCCCAGAAACGATTATCACAAGACGATTCTTGCATCATAGATCTCGTCTTATCCAAAATTGTTCGATTCATGCGTTCTACAACCCCATTTTCTTGTGGTGTGTAGGATACTGTTAGCTGGAATTTTAAGCCATTTTGCTTTAGAAAATTCTTCAAAATATTGTTTGAGAATTCTTTACCATTGTCACTTCGGACTCCTTTTATCTTCAAATTACATTAATTTTCTACTTGCTGCTTGAATGCCTTGAGAACTTTTGTAACTTCACTGCTTGTCTGAGAAAGTAGACAAAAACTTTTCACGTAAAGTCATCTATCAGACAAAAAATATACCGACTTCCTCCCCAAGAATCTATGGGCATGGGTCCACACAGATCCATGTGTATGAGCTCCAACCTTTCGTGAGTGGAAACCTCTGTTGGTTGCATTTTGAACGGTTTCATACTGATACGGTTTAAATGTCCAAGTCTTCTGTGCCAAAGTACTTTTGACATTTCTGTGTTTGAAAAATTGGCGTGTTCGGTTTTGTTTAAAATGAGGCAATATACTCTACCAATTTCAGTTGCTGTATCCACTGTGTCACCTTCAAACACGCAGTTTTCAAGTATCTTGCATCCTTCTTGATCAAATACCACTATAAAGCCTTTAGATACCATCTGGCTTACGGATAGCAAATTAGAGGATAGGTCCGGAACATAGGTTACGTTAGAGATAACCTGGACTGGTGATCTATCTTTCAGACTAATAGATACATCTCCAATTCCTTGACTGTATAAAATTTGATTATTTGCAACAGCCACTTCTAAGCCAACATTTTTTTCTTCTGAAAAATTGACCAGCCATTCTTTGTTAGAAGTCATATGTGACGAAGCACCTGAATCAACATACCATTTTTTGTCTATTGAGCCTGGAATTATAGAAGCTCTGCAACACCAAGATACAAAATGCAGGACCTGCAAGTCTGAATTTTCGTATTACAGAAGCAGAATGCATTTGCAGGTCGCCTAAAAAATTGCGCATGGTGAAACGGTCCCGCAAGTCCTTGCAATCACTTTGACAACTTTGACATTTAAAACTGGTAAATCAGCAGCGCCCAAACACTTTTTCCCGATAAATATGACAAAATTGCAGATTTTTTCTGAAATTTGCTTGCATGTCGGCCATATTTGCAGAACTGCAAGTTTGCAGATGCAAATATACTGTAATATGGCCCTTAGTTGACAAGCTAATGCGGTAATAAAAACTCCATTTTTGGTTGACTTGTTCTGCTCATACTTTTTATTTTTGTTAGAAGTAGAAGGTCCACTGACTTTTGTATTTGTACAATTTTGCTTATAGTGTCCCACAGAACGACATTTCCAACACCAAGGCTTTTTGTCTTTCGCATTATTGACTTTATTTTTCTTAGACCACAAAGCTTTATTTGAATTGTGTTTATCATTCTCCCACTTTGTATCTTGTAGTAACTTGGATTTGACCAAATCACTCGTGATCTGTGCTCCAGAGTGTTCAATTGCCATCATCATAGCTTTCTGGCAATCCTTGAAGCATCATAGCTCCCAGTAACTCATCATCAACAGCTTTATTTATGGCGCAAAGTTCCTGCGACACTGTCATAAACTCATTAAGGTAATCATCCATTTTAGAAAAAAATTCTAACCTGATACTACATAAGGTTCGAAGTAATTTGATTCTTCGATTGAGACCTTTATCCTCGTAAGCTGCTTTCAAATTATCCCAAGCATCAACAGCTTTTTCACATTCTCTTATGTGAGGATAACAGCATGGTTGAACCATCAAACAAATCTTTGTAAGAGTTTTTTGATCTTTCTTACTTTTTACTGCTTCTGTAGTCGTATCGCCTTCTGGATAGGTAGCCATTTATAGAAACCTAAAGATCTTCATGACGAAGTAGCATCTTCATGGCAAACGACCAATCACAATAATTCTCCCTTCTTCCTAACTTATCAAAAGAAGGAGCTGAACTGGAACTTTCTGCATAACTACAGTATAGTAGAAATAATTGAAATTTGCTCGAAAAAATGTCTATAAAATCCTAACTTTTTAAAAAGAAAATTTCCTTGACAGTTGAAATCTACTTCAAAATTCTCTTATTGCAGTTTCAGAGGCTAACGAATCTTCTTGTGATTATATCTGCTGGCCTATCTGGGCCCGTAACCTTTGTAAGCAATAAGTAAACGCAGGACAGATGTGAAGAAAGAAGTAAAAGATTTGTAAAGATTGATGTATAGGTAAACTTAGAACGTTTTTACAATGAGAAATATTATATTATTCTGACAAGTACAACTACAAAACTTCAATATAATAAATCATATATCAAAATGTACAGGGAAACTACTTAGCTAATGTATTAGTGAGAACTTCTTTCTTTAACAGTTGCAAAAACTTCTGATTCAAAGAACCGAGAAGAAACATGAAAATCCATACCTTTCCTGGAAATTTCCGGAATGTGCCTTGTAAGCTTTGTCTTGGATTCAATAACACTACAAAACAGCTCCACAAGTATCAAAAGTAATATGAGTATGTTGTTACTTATACTGTCTTTAAAGCGGTTTTGGAACCAAAAACAAAGCCAAATCTATAATTAAACATAAACCGTTCTCGAATGAAATAGATGATTATTGCTCCCGCACACCACTTGAACGTTTATAATAGCGTTGCCATCAAGTCGCGTATATACAAAAAAGTGAAAGTACCTCGCGAGTAGTACCCAGCGCGAAGGCCGGCCTCCGCTCGGCGACTTTGGCCAGTTATAACATAAACCGTACGCGAACCTGAGCACTTTTAAACGAATGGTTGTTTACGTTTCCCGATACATGGGCCCCCAAATCGTGTGAAATGTCGCCGTTTTTAAGGGACTAAAATCGATAATATTGATTATTTTATCGATTGCTAGTCGAAAGGTGACGGTTTCGGGACGTTAGGGCAAAGGAGTTCGGAGTAACAGGTGTTTGAAAGTGCATGTGGTGAGTTATTGGTCAACTTGTCTTTGGAGGATTTTCAGGTGTTGAATAATAATAATTATTATGATAGGCGTTATTATTATGAGGCTACTTCATTATTAAACATTGAGAAGTAGGAATTTGAATTAGATTTTTGCAACTTTTATCTCCTTAAAAGGAAGAACCATTTACTATCCTTGTATCTATAAAATAATTGAGTTTTAAGCTCTTTCGTTGAGCTTTTGACTTATTCATTAGTTTTACATTCTTTTCAAATAATTGTCATCCAGATCCAGGTCCCAGGTCTAAGACAAAGAAATTATTCTAATTTCAATTTCTATTCAGAGCCTCTACAATATGAACATATCCGTCCTTTAATGAATCACCTTACCTATATGGGTTCATTATTAATTCCAACCGCGTACCTAATTTATGGTTGTTTAAGACGTCGATGGTTCTCTTATATGGAATAAATTAATAATTTCCTCTTTGACGTTGCTTAACTTGTTTTTTTTTTTTTAACATTTGGTACAATTTTCAAAGCAAAATTACATATGCTGCAGGTGTTTGTTCATTAATAAATAGAACACCTGTGTGATACTGGAACATAATAATTGTATCATTTGAATTTAACTTTAATGCGACCTAAATTCATCCTGTATAACTGGAGCCACTCCCTTAATAATCGTAAGTTTCCTCGGATCAATAATAATTACTCTTCCTCGATTTATCCTTAATGAAATGCAAAGTTATAATATGAATTGCATGCAGTTTGTTTGATTGACGTTTAAGGTTTTTTACTTGAAGCAAAATTCGATAGTCGTCTAACAAATGATTGTTTTTTTTTCTCGACTTAATGAATTGTACATTTTAATTCCTGCTGTTTTTTTCTTTCACTTACCTATATAGGAAAGTACAATTTGATTATTGTTACCTATTCAATTCTCCGTGGTTTATAATAGCCGGACCGAATTTACCGGACAAGCGAACTTACGGTTTTGGGTCCGACAAATTTGTCAGCATTTCTACGTTTAGGATAAATACTGCCGGGACAATTACGTTTCAGACAAATGATGTACAATCGGGACGTGTCGGGAAAACACCTGTCGGGGCAAATAAGAGTCGACCCGCTATAATCAGCTATATGATAAGTAATAGACAGGAAGAGGTCCAAATAATGACTTATAAGTGTTATCGTTGGTTAGAGAGAAATAAAAAAACGTTATGTTCCTAACGAGCCAGTTTAATTTTGGCATTATGTCGAGTTTTCTATACGGTTATCACTGCTGTGTACAGTTTTTTATATTTTCGTATGGTTCTCCATTCATAGGTCGATCAAGTGTACGCCACTGGTATTTTCCTGTTTCTGACTACCCCCTCAACCTTTCCATATTAGTACGAATTCAATCCTATGTACAGTTTTCGAATAATCATACAGTTTCCTATGTACAGTTTTTGAATAATTATACAGTTTTGTATATTTTCTTATGGTTCTCTATTCGTAGGTCGATTGAGTATACGCCACTGGTATTTTCCTGTTTCTGACTATACCCCCTAACATTTCCATGTTTAGTATGAATTCAATCCTACGTACAGTTTTTGAATAATCATACAGTTTTGTTGATTTTCGTATGGTTCTCCATTCGTGGGTCGATCAAGTGTACGCCACTGGTATTTTCTTGTTCCTAACTACCCCCTCAACCTCTCCATAGCCGCTTTCCAGTATGGGAGTGTGGAGCTCGGAGCTACTCGGAGCGTTGAGCTCCCCAGCTAAACGTACGGACAAACGTCTCACGTCATGATACTAGAACGGTACAAATCTAGTGCGTGGCGCTCCCGGGGTGCTCTAGAGCACGCCAATGTGCATACTGGAAAGCAGTTCATGTTAGTATGAATTCAATACTCTGTACAGTTTTTGAATAATCATACAGTTTCCTATGCACAGTTTCTGAATAATCATACAGTTTTGTAAATTTTCGTATATGCTTCTCCATTCGTAGGTCGAGCGAGTATACGCCACTTGTATTTTTCCGTTTCTGACTACCTCCTCAACCTTTCCATGTTAGTATGAATTCAATCCTTTGTATTGTTACGGGATTATTTTTCCCCGTCAAGTAAAAGTAGGTACCCCCATCTAGAAATTTAAGTTGTCATTTCACCTATACAGTTTTCATTTCGCTATTTTTCAGTACCATCTAACAATAATTGTGGTTATTTATTTAAACATTTCATATTGTATATTAATATAGATTCCTACACTCGGTTTATAGTACCGATGGTTCTGTTACAGATTTCCGTACTACCTTCCTTTGTACCATTACAGTTTTCTCTATTGTGGGTACAAGGCATTCGGTCAGTAGCAGTACCACTGTCCCCCAATAGATTCTGTAGAAATTCCTCAAGGTTTTTTTCTGGAAGAGAAAGGATTAAAAATAGTTTTTTTTTTTGGTAGAAAAGAGGGCAGCTTTCAAGAGCACGTTGAGAGTTTCCTCTAAGCGTTTTTGCTGATCTAAAACCAAAAATAGGTTTGAGCCCTTAACTCCCAATTGTGGGTTGCTGAGATTATAGCATCACAGTGCCACTATAGGCAGATTTGGTTGTGTGAGTTTTAAAGGGTTAAAGTCTCAAATTTAGCCGTTTTTATTCGTGTGCTGTGTCTGTAAAAAGTTTTCATTTTCTGCTATTCTACTTTTGGATAAGTTCTACAATATTAAAGTTCTTCTAGAATACTTCTTTACGATATTTGCTATTTGCTTACCATGTGCGAAAATCTTGTTCTTTTTTCTAGGTCTTTTTTTTCCTTTAGTCTCTCTTCACTTTTATTCTTCCCCATATTGAAGGCCTTGTTTTCCTCCGATACACGAGTGCCGGTTGCCCATCAACCCCCGGTACTCCAGAGGTACCTACCTTCTGAACCACTCCAGTTGGCCTTGCTACCCCCCTTTAGTCCCTAATTACCAAAAAGATTTGGGGAGGACCCTCGATTCTTACTCCACGTCAGGTAGATTCCTGGGCTGTAAGACTTGCAAACAGCAAACAATCAATGAACGCCCTGTAAGTTAGTTAGGTCACATGTGTGTGTTGTCTTGGGTCCTGAAATCAGATGGTTACCAGTGCATCGACCCTAAAATTTTGTAACTCATGTACACGCCCAACTTCTTGAGCGGCTTCATAGCACCAAGTCGGACAATTTTGTTCACATCTCCAACCCGGGCGATGGGACATTGTCTTGCTAGCTCTTCGGGAAGTTGTCATTCTGACGTCCCTGAGAACGGTGATACATGTATATGTAATTTTAATTCTAATCGACTGTTTCTATGTTATATTAACGATATCACATTTGTCGGACAAAAATCTCGTGGCATTGGGGTGGTCGGACACCCTCAACAGCAACATGTTAAGGTCGTCGGACCCCTCCAATGCCACGAAATTTTTGTCCGACTAATGTGGTATCGTTAATATAACATAAAAAACAGTCGAATGGAATTAAAATTACATGTACATGTATCACCATTCTCAGGGACGTCAGAATGACAACTTCACGAAGAGCTAGCACGACAATGTCCCATCGCCCAGGTTGAAGATATGAACAAAATTGTCCGACTTGGTGTTATGAAGCCGCTCAGGAAGTTTGGCGTGTACAAAATTTCAGGGTCGCTGTACTGGGGACTATTAGTAATAAATTTCTAGATCTAGGATCTTAAGTTTGAGTAGTTGGGTGAATCGAGGTGCAATACCAGATTCTTCTTTTTCTAAAAGTTAAATGTTATCAGTACAGCGATAACAAGCAGCTAAAACCTAAAAATTCATCAACTTAAGCAAATTTCGGTTAGCCAAACAGTAAACATAAGTGAAGCAAAACACAAAGGCGTAGCTATTAAATGTTTGCCTTTGCAACAAATCCACACACTCATACCTAAAATAACCAAATTAGCCGTCGATGTAGCCGCGCCACCAGGATTTGTAGCTTTACAGGAATAAACAGCGATATCCTGAGGTTCCACTGTCCAAAAATTCTAACGTTACCACATTCTCATCAATATTAATGAAAATTCTTTCATTGGCATGTAATACAGCCTCGTTTTTGTACCAAGTAATTTCAGGGAATGGAGTACCCTTCACTTTGCACACTAATTGTGTAGGCTTACCCTCTTCAGCAGCTACAAGCTCAACGCGTTCAATAAATCTTGGCGCTACGGTTTTAGTCTTAACGCGTCTACCAATAGTCTTTTGAACTAAAGACGTTTGTATCGTAGTTTCTTCAAGTAAACCTGTTTGTTCGGTAAGGGTTTCTGCTGGAACTTTATCAGTGACTTCTGTAGTGCATTTCTGAGTAATAATTTCGAATTCCGGTAACGGTTGACTATCGTCAAACTTAACAGTACGTACGTTTCTTTTGAACTTTAACTTTTTGTCGAAATAACTTGCATATCTATATCTTTTTTGAATTCCTCGCTTTTTCTATTTCTGGCTTTCCTTCATCCAAAATCTTAGGTTTTTGTTATTTTATTGGTTTCAAAAGAATTTCAGTTTCAGATATTTCAGGAATTGAAGGGATTTCTTCAACATCTTCCAATTTAGTTAACTAATTCTGGCCTCTCTTCTTCTTTAGGACGCCTTATTTTCTTCTTCTTTTCAATTTTATCTGGTTGCTCTCCATCTTCTTTTTCCTGAGACTTAATTTATCATCATAAACATCATCAGGAATTTGATAAGCTTTTTCTTTTTTAACATCCTCAATAATGACTTTATATTCAGGTTCTTCAGGAGCTTCCTTGTTGATTGGTTTAAGTTTGATATCTTCTTTTTCTTCCTCTGGCAGAGGTTTTCTTTTACCACGAGGCCATTCTTTAACTTCGGGTTGTTCTTAGGAGTTCTTCTCCAAGGGTGCAGTTCAATTACAGTAACTTCTTCTGGTTTTGTTTTTTCATTCTTTCGGTTTTGAATCGCTTTCCGGTATTTCAATTGGTTTGGATTTTTCAGGAATTTCAATTTTATCTTCCTTGTCTTTTTTAACTGGTTATAGTTTTACTTGCTCTTTTATATCCGGTAAAACAAACTTTTCATCCTCAGGTATTTCAGGTTTATCTACTCTTTGGAATGGCTTGAGCTTGATTTGCTCAGGAATTGAGGGCTGAGATTGGAAAACTACCTTCCTGGCTTTCATTTTTTTAGGTTTCTTATCATCATCTACTTTCTACGATTTCGTGTGCTTCAGGTTGTTCTCCTTCTTTTTCTGTTGTAACTATGAGTAGTTTCCCATTTGTCGCCATCCTTCTTAATAATTCTACGCGTTTTGGTAATCTTTTTCTTTGGAACACCGTGCTCTATAACACTAGTTTCTTCAACTTGTTCTAGAAGTTCTTCTACTTTTACTTGAGGGGCAAAAATAATCCCGTAACATTACCAGTTTTTGAATAATCATACAATTTTCTATGTACAGATTTTGAATAATCATACAATTTTGTATATTTTCTTATGGTTCTTTATTCGTAAGTCTATCGAACCTACGTACGTCACTGGTATTTTCCTGTTTCTGACTACCCCGTCAACCTTTCCATGTTAATATGAATTCAATCCTGTGTACAATTTTTGAATAATCATATAGCTTCCTATGTACAGTTTTTGAATAGTCATACAGTTTTGTATATTTTCGTATGGATCCCCATTCGTAGGTAGATCGAGTGTACGCTACTGGTATTTTGCTGTTTCTGACTACCCTGAATAAATATTAATCGGAAGGAAAAGTCACAGTTCTCTAGGTACCATTAGATTCTCTACCAATGATGATTGGCACAAAAGCAAGAATCGTACAAGCATTGGCTGCAAAAAGACATGCTGAACAAACTCATTATTAAAGTCACTTCCAGGTTTGGTTTGTTCCAAAACAATTATCGAACGATTGTATAAGGACTTGATTGGTCATGACCGATTCATGAATTACTTTATAATTGACGTGTCTCGTAATACCTGAATCGGCGCGCGCAGACTGTGGCAAGCAGGTGAGAAAGTGAAGTTTTTTACGGGCTTGCGTCATATTTCTTTATTTCTATTCAGGAGCGAGTTCAAAAGTAATAGTTCGTTCTTTCTCTGTAACATGTAATTCGACAAAGAGCAAACTAATACTTTACGTATTACTTGAACTCACTGCAGTGTCGTTTAAGGTTATGTTAGATTATACTTGACATATTCCTTTGTAATTTTATTGTGCGATGTTGCCGGATGAAACATTTATCAAAATAAAAGTGCAAATGATGTTAACATACACTTTAAAGCCCCTATTTTGTCTGATTTAAGGCGTTGTGAAACACTTGACACTATATCACTTCTTTAATGTTATAATTTTCGATTTGTACTGTTTACATTTGTACTGCAACAATACAATCTGGCTACACTGCAGCCACGAGTTGCGCGCGCATGTCATATTTTATTACTCTCTAACTTGTATTTATTACAATTAGGCTCTCTTTTTCTATTTCTGCGAGACACGTCAATTGATCCAAAACCAAATTCGTTGCACATCACAATGCGTCCACCACCAAATTAGATTTAAACGCAGTCGGTGTGTTTCAATAGACATGAGAACCGTTCTAGAACGGTTATTTCCAGTCGATCAATTCAATTGGGAAAAACGTTTAACTTGAAAAAGAGGTGGGCAGCTGGAAATTACTAGTTCTGGAACGATTCTCATGTCTGTTGGAACAGAGCTTTCAATGGCGTGCAACGGATTTAGTTTTGGATCAACTATAGAAGGAGAGACTAGCAACCAATAAAATATTGTACTATTTCAAGCTTCCTAGCTCTTGATCTATTTCGATAAACATTTCTTCTCAAAGCAAGCAACACGTCCTCGAGATTATCTTGCCTCGGCCGCAAGCGGCCTCGGCGATAAATTTTCTCTACGTACGCTAAAAGGCACTTCGCGGCCTTGGTATACAAATAACTATTGTGGAAAAAGTTTCAGTTTTCAAATAACAGGTTGTTATAGAAAATTCATCAAATGGACTTGGACAACCATCAGCCATGCGACGGACTAGACTTTATCGTAGAACATCCGGAGTACGTGGCAAAACTAGCTACAGCCCTAAACGCCATCGGCCCTACAGCCATCAGAGTGAGGAAGCAAATGTTCGAATTGCTTGCCGCTTTGTGTGCGCACAACGAGGATGGCAGGATCAGGACACTGGAAACTTTAGATTATTACAAGGTAAATTTTTGTTGCAAATAATTAATACATTGATACCAAATATTCTCTGTCTAGAAACTCAAGAAGCAAAAATACAGGATGGCCTTTATAGTTCAAGAATTGGAACAAGCGCGCACTACAGATTACCAAACAGCTCTAGTAGCTTTTATCAATTGCCTCATCATATCAACGTCGAATTTAATCGACAGAATAAGGATCAGGAATGAGTTTTTTGGTATGTAAAATAGCCTCGAGCCAAAAATTCACTTAAACTTTCGCCTCAACAGAATGCCAGCTACTCCAAGTTCTAAATAAAATTAGAAACTCCAAACCAGAACCAGACTTGTCGGCTCAAATAGATGTGTTCGATGAACAACACAAAAGCGACCAATCTGAACATCAAATTGAGTTTAAAAGCGTGGATTTAGATTCACCTTTGGATATTTTTTATGCTATACTTAAAAAGGTAACATCTTGAATTATGTCGGAAACGAACTGTTCATGACATGAATTTTTTAGGTCGCTGATACGTCACACGCAGCCCCCTTTCTCAGCATTCTCCAAAGTCTACTAAGCATCGACCCAGATGATCCTCTCAGTGACATTATATGGGAAAACTTAGAAAAACTAGTCCAAAAAGCAATAGTTTTAGATAAACACGAAGATATACCAAAGTTAGCCCGATTAAACTCTAGAACCAAGTTAAACTGTACCTGTCAGCAAAGCAACAGTAATAGAAGACAATCTGGGGTGGCATTGAATACTCCTTATGGCCCATTGTCACCACCACCACCAAATTCATCATCAGGTAACTAGTTACTTGATGATATTTATATCGGAAGTAAAATATGTGATGTACTTTTTCAGCACCTCCTCCACCTCCATTTCCACAAGCCATACCACCTCCACCGCCACCAATAGCGCCTCCACACATACCGCCACCTCCTCCGCCAAATCAAGCCATGAGAAAAAATTTACCGCCAGACAAGGAACCCATAATTGAACTTTTGCCTCAGCAAGAAATCCCAGCACCGAAGTCCAAAATGAAAACGGTGAATTGGAATAAGATTCCCAGCAACAAGGTAATAATTTGATTGTTGATTTAAGTTTTGGTTTTTAAAAAAAGATATGTTGTTATCAGGTTGTCGGTACCAATAATATTTGGACCCAAGTAGCTCACAGACACCAAAATTCTCCATTGGCAGACATTGACTGGTCAGAAATGGAAGGACTGTTTTGTCAGCAAGGGCCAGCTGCGATCGATAATGCTGACAATGCTGGAAATAATGAAGAGAGATGTTTGAGAAAAACCAGAAATCAAACACAAGAGGTAAATGGATCGGTTAATTAATTATAGAATAATATACGTAAAATCACAAAAGTCAAAAATAGAAGAAAAATAGTTTATTGTTTTTAGATAACCCTTCTAGATGGCAAACGAAGCCTAAACGTCAATATTTTTCTAAAACAATTTCGAAGGTAAAAAATGTTTGTTTTTTGGAAATTGCGGCACACATAACAAATATCATAAAATTGTAACAACATAACCGAAAATGGCATGGTACTAACCAGAGTCATCAAAATGAAATGGTTAATAACAAAATTAATTTCTTACCCATTTAACAAAAACCAGAATAATTAGGGTGTCAATTCTTGAATTGCAATGAAAGCAAAGTTTTCTGCTTGATTCAAGAATTAATACCCTTAGGAAAGGCTCCATCAAAATCAATCTTAAATTTTCAGTTCCAACGAAGACATAATCCGTCTCATACGAAATGGCGAACACGACAAAATCGGTATTGAAAAGCTGAAAGGTCTGCTGAAAATTTTACCCGAAGTCGACGAGCTCGACATGCTGAAATCTTTCAAAGGTGACGTGCTGAAACTGGGAAACGCTGAAAATTTTTTAATGCAGTTAACGAGTTTGTCTAAGTAAGGGTTTTTCAATGTCAGAACTTCAATTAATAGATAATTTTTAGTTATAAGTTGAGAATCGAAAGTATGCTCCTCAAAGAGGAATTTGAATCGAACATGAGCTACGTGAAGCCCAGCATTAATTCGATGGTAATAGCTGCCCAAGAATTGATGACCAATAAAGCGTTGCAAGAGGTTTTGTATATGGTGTTGATTGCTGGAAATTTTTTGAATGCGGTAAACAGGCATTTTGGAAAATTAAGCAGTGCATAACTTTGTTTTTATTTTTCGTAGGGTGGTTACGCTGCAAATGCTGCGGGTGTAAAACTGACTTCGTTGCAAAAAATAATGGATATTCGAGCCAACAAGCCAAATATGAATCTAATTCATTTTGTAGCCCAGGTAATTAATTTTTTATTGGGAGTAGTAAAAAATTTACATTTTGCACCTGTCTAAGTTTCTGAGAAATTACTGAAAATTGTTCAGCAATAGCAAATCAAGCGCCTGTAATAATTCAAAATTTGATTGTTAGTGTGTGACGGAACTAACTATTGCCCCTTTTTGGGCTTTAGTCAAACCGCACCAGGGATGCCAAAAGTTTTCACTTTGACTGACTGTAAAAATTAACCATTAGGTGTTGGATCATTTAAGACTTGTATTGGGTTAGGAGTGCCTTGATTCTCATTTATACAAATAAAACGCTGAAATAGAATAGTTATCAATTTAATAAATAAATGAAAGTAATTCGGTATGGTTATCAATCAAATCCTATCTAAAAATTCCTAATTGGACGTCCAGTCGAACTACAAATTTTACACTAATCTCAAGTAAATAAGTATCTTGATTTATAAAAAGTAGGGAAATCTGATAATGATAACAATATCATTTATGGTTAAATGTTCAATGAACGAGAACACAAATTAACTAATTAAATGTACGAGAGCACAACATAAATAATTCGTCAAGTTCAATCAGTTCACTGCAATCACAAAATGTACATTGATCCTTGAAAGTTCTTTTATTTATTGAGAGTTAACAATTTGAGCACCTTTCTGCTGAAGTCTGTAAACATTGTGCAAGAAAAGTCTTTATATATATGCTCAGTTTCTATATACAAATGTTAATTTCACGAGTGTGAAAACCAAATTTCTGTATTAAAGGTTAGAAAACACTTCAATTTATAGTGCATTTCAAGCGAATCACTAATCAGTATTTATCAACTTATTGTTCGACTGTTAGAGAAATTGTAACGGTCTTACTTGCTTAATCCAATTCATACAGATAAATCCATAAGGCGATTATTTATCCATTTATCACTATTCGCACTCGCAGCTAGGGAATTTTCCACTGGGATGAAAAGAAAACACAATGATATACAGGTGGTTGGAGTCTGTCGAGAGTAAGAGAGATAGAGCCAGAAACAATCGTATGAGAAAATTTTGCTCGTCGGAGGTGACTTGCAACAATTAGGGGTTAATTACATGAATTGTAATCAATAATATAGACCATGTCAGGCCTTGAGACACAGAGAGTAGTATTTTACTATAAATCGTGCGTACTAACGGGGGTTTTCGCCTCTGGAGAGCAACCAGAGGCCGCGAGGGTGCGAACTCTTCGCTTAATCTAATAGTACTGAAGAATGTGCGTCGACTAGCTCTGCCACGGAGCAGGTCGCAAAAAACTAGGGATGTTGTGTGGCGGCTGACTAATCACAGCCGCGAGGGGTTCACTGCCTTATAAGGTAATGAAGAAACCTGTAATTTTACCGGTTCAAAGGGTTGTTGTTGCCGGTTTTACAGGCATCTAGTTTTAGAATATTATTTTTATGGTAAATAATAGAGAGCAAAATTATATTAAATTAGAAATAACAAAATTTAAACTTGTTGTGGGTTATTTCCGCAACATAGTGGTTTCTTGATTTGCTGAATTATTTTTCCAAGACCAATAAAATACCCAAAACAGCTAAATATTGATTATTATCGGTTCTTGATTTGCTGGACATTTTTTAAAAAGGAAATCTACCAGTTAGTCCAAATGTTGATCATTACCGGCTCTTGATTGTCTCTAAAAAAATTGTTCAGCAAATCAAGAGCCTGTAATGAATATTAAAGAAAATCAAACACTTCAATAAATAAATATAAACAACTTCTATTTAACAAAAATACGCCGGCTGTACCTACTGAAAGTGATCCTCCCTCGCTTTTGACAGGCATTTACATCGATGGTTGGCATGCCGAGACGTCATCCCTGTTTTTTTCTACAATCAGCCGGCTTTGTGAGTTTGATAACAGTCGGCCACGCTACACAATCCACGTCTTCGTGGAAGCTCAAAATTCCATTACATACTGTTAAAATTCAATTCAATTATTATATATCAATATCACAAGTCAGCCTAACACAATCAGTCAAACATCAATATTTCAGCAATCATTAAGCAGGGAAAATGGGGGAAAACAATAGTATGTTGTAGTATAACATACCCGGGTTCGTGATAGCAAATATCAGGGAAATTCTAGGGAAGTTGTGATATGTAAAATAAACGAAAAATTTGTGAAACGTCTAATTTATTATTAGAAAATCGTACCGTGCTCGAACTGGAACTTACGAGGGGAGAGAACACGGTAGAGAACCCCTCGATCTAACATTCCTCAAAAATCAAAACATACTGTGTCATTTTAATAATATTTCAATTGAGTCAATGAAAGTTTAAATTAGGTACCGTTCCTGTTCTTGTGCTGAAATTTCAATTAAACACACTACAATCGATCAACACTACCTATATTCAATACTAAAAAGTTTTTTTGGTTAGTTAGCCAGTTTCACCAGCAGGTACTGAGGTCCCGTATGGGAGGCTACTTAGCTATATTTCTTATTTTGAGCCAATATCTCTGGATTGATTTTTCAATTTGTTTGCTAGTATATTCGCTCGTCAGGGTAGGTAAATGTTAGTAGATTTAACAAGGCCCTAATGCCTACGTTCTGAATAGCAAAAATTAAAATCCCAACATAAATGACAGTTCAAAATTTCTTTGGTTTTAATTTACTTTTTATCTGTGGTGTTCCTAGCATGAAACGATTTTTCTTAAATACATGAACATGAACATGTTATAAAAATGTTATAAACAAACAAAAAAATAACATGAAATGAAGGAAATAAAGCTATCTATCTATTCTCAATCTGTAGTCCAAAGGTACAGGAAAAATTTATCACCTTTCAATGCTATTTCATAGGGAAAGGTGATAAATTTACCTGTACCTTTGGACTACAGATTGTGGATAGGATATATAAATTAAACTCTCAAAAAAAAATTAATCTCGAGACAGAAATCGGTGAGGGAAGTCGAATAGAGAAATCGGTGAGGATAATCGAAGAGGGAAGTGACACAGGTAAAGTGACACTTCCAAATTTTTTAAAAGTCAGTAATGTCACATATATGGTTGCAAATAAAACATCATACATTATACCTAATTCAGCTATTACACATATACACACATCTAATACTCTCAACTAATCCATAGGTCATTATACTGCAACGACCATCTACCCATCTTACACAAAAATGAATAGATAATCATCGCAAAGTCATATACAGAACTCTGCTTCTTATTTTTTCTTATTCTGGTACCCACAAATCAAGTTCTGTTCATAAGCTAACAATATTTTCGTGATATCGTCTCCATTTTCCTTAATTGGCTATGGATCTTTATGTTCTATTCACAGCTCAATCTTTTGTTCAGTTGGTACTACTTCTCAATAATTATCACATTTTATAGATACAGTTCTTCTGTAAACTAGCTAGTTATCGTTTTTTTCTGAGCTATACCAATATAAGTTCTCTATATGCATGAATCATTTATTGAATCATCTTCAGATTCTGAGTTTCAACTTGTCCAAGGAAACGATTCCCTTGTATTTCTTCTGAGACCTTGAAGACCCTATCAAATTTTCGATTACAAAAATCTATCATGATCCAGCACACTTGTTATCACATAGAGACCTGAATATTTTGGCAACAACTTTTTGCTTTGTCCTGTACTGTTCTGGCTAACACACAGTCGCCAGTCTTATACTTTCTCCCAGGAAAACGTCCAGCATCATATTGAGCTCTGCTTCTCTTGGATCAATTCTTTCATAGACTCTCTTGTTTTCTGCAAGCTCTGATCATGCGAAGATTCTACTGCAACCTCGTTGTCAATATCGAATTTGCAACACCCCTCAGTGCATATCCGAAAAGCAGTTCGTAGGGAGACTTTCGTGTAGACGAACTTACGCTCGTGTTTGAACCCCATCTCACTCGCTGAACTTGCTCGTCCCATCTGTCTTCTTCGTCTGTTGATGAAGACAGTGATGCCAATATGGTCCTGTTGAACCGCTCGACCTGTCCATTCGCTCTAGGAGTAGCAGTCGCTTTTAGTACATGTTTGATATTCAAATTCGAGCAATAGTCTTTCAATTTTTTGGCTGTATAGCAGAAGCCTCGATCGCTAATTATCCTTCTCGGTACTCCAAATTTGCTACTACTTCATCTAGAAAATTCAGTAGTGGCCCAATCTTCGTTGATTGGACTGCCTTTATGAATACAAACTTCGTGAATCCCTCCACAATAACAATAAGGTACATATTTTTTCTTTTCGATTATACAAATGGCCACAGATGGCCAACGTGAATGGTATCAAATGGCTCTGAGACTTTCTCAATAGGGTGGAGAAACCTAGGCTGACGACCGCCAGGTTCTTTATTGTACAGATATTCCAAAATATATTTCTTTATATATATTTCCTTGGTTTATATATATTTGCATTCCTGGAAACCAGTACGTCTTGGAAATAGTCGAAAACGTTTTATCTAGTGCCACATGTCCTCCGCCGTCATGAAAATGCATTAAAATTTGTCCGCGAGCCGATCTTAGAACAACCAATTTATTGCCATTCTCTGTTTGTCTATAAAGACGATTATTATTCTTGCATATTCTCAATGGATTTTCCGTTCTTCGACGTCCACAGGATCTCTTTCCGAACTTCCAAAATTAATTTAAATCTATCGACCGTCAGTAGCGCTGAAAATACCCAGTCTTCATGTTCTATGTTAACAAGATTTGCATCAATTTGTAATGCACCTCCCCCGAGAATAGGAATAGGACTTCTACTTAAAGTATCAACATGCGCCATTTTTGTACCAGTACCACTTTGAAATTAAACTCTTGAATAGGCAACCACCATCTCCCAACTCTAGGAATGAGATCTCGCTTGCACAATGTCGTCCTTATAGCATTGCAATCAGTAATCACCTTGGAATTGTTACCAATCAAGTACACTTTAAAGTTCTTCAAGGTACATACGACTGCAAGGGTTTCGAGCTCATGAGAGTGGTACCATTGTTCTTCTTTTGTGGTCTGTCTCGAAAAATACATACAGGGACGAAGTGAACCAGAATGTTGCCTCTGTAATAATATTCCACCTATGCCCCCCTTCGAAGAATCACAGTGGATCTCTGCTGACAGGTCTGGATTATAAATCGCTAGAATAGGCCTTGATACTAATCTTTCTTTAAGAGTATCAAAAGAATCTTGTTGATCACTGCCCCAGGCGAATTCTACTTCTTTTTTCGTCAGAGAACTGAGAGGTCTGGCTATGATGGCGAAGTTCTTAATGTTTTTTCGAAAAAATCTAGATAAACCTAGGAATTGCCTGACCGTGCGTTCATCTGTAGGAATGGGGAACTTGGATATAGCGAATGTATTTCGTTTTCCCGGTTTAATACCACCCTTGCTAATTTCGTGACCTAAATATTCGATCTTGGGCATAAAAAAGTGGCATTTTGATAATCTCAACGTGAGACCTGCATCTGACAATGCTTTCAGGACGTCCCTGAAGTTATTGATACCTACTTCAAAGCTATTTACAGGAAGAAGAATGTCATCCATGTATGCCAATGCTTCTCCATACCGCATGTTTCCCAATACTTTATTTATAGTTCTCTGGAATAAAGCTGGCCCATTTGCAACGCCGAATGGCATTCGAAGGTACTCGAAATGACCGTCAGGCATCACAAAAGCAGTTTTTTGAATAGAATCGGGGTCCATCTATATCTGGTGGTATCCACTAGCTAAATCCAAAATGTGAAAAACGAACAGTCTTTGAGTTTCTTCATTAAATCAACTTGTGGTAATGGAAATCTGTCTTTGTGTGTCTTGGCATTTAATGCGCGATAATCGATTCACATTCGTTGCTGTTCATTCGTTTTTTCCACTAAGAGGATTGGACTGAGACTCACGTATTATATCTCTCTCAAGTGGTTCATCCACAATATCTCTCACAACTTTCCTTTCAGTGTGAGATAAACGATAAGGTCTATACAGAATTGGTTTGTCGTCAGTTAGTTTAATAGTCATTTTCAAAACGTCACTTCGTGTTTCGTACTTCGTGCAAAACAATAATGAAATTCCTTCAATGATTTCAACAATGAGTCTATCTGTTCCGAAGTTAAATGATCAGAGCAAGATATGTCACTAACAGTAAACATATTTTGTTCATTTGTTGAAACAGTCACATGACCAGCGTTGATATTTTCTTGAGCTCCAATTTCTTCAAAACAAACAGCTGACCTTGATAAAATTGTGTCTTTACTGACCCTAAAATCTTGCTGAAAGAAGTTCGTGATCGTCAAAATTTCAACTTGGACATTTGTGATACATTCGTCAATCAGTGGCGCCGCGTAACAAGCAGTCTGGGGGGGGGGGGGGGGGGAGATGATTTGTGATACATTCGTGAATTCTTTCCAGATACGATTACTACGATTATTGGTTGATTCAAAAAGCTTTGTCCTACAATGACCGGTATTGACTGAATATGATCAGGTACCTACTACAATGAAATACACGTAGGCTTCAATTTTCAGATTAGTTTTTCTTTCTCCAATAGTTGATATGACTGAACTACCTTATCCTGATACGTTGGTGTTACTTCGGAGGCATTCCTCCTTTGCCACTTCTTCTCTGACAAAAACAGACCCACAACCAGTATCAACCTATGCATGTGTCGGCATATCGTTCAAAACACAGTCGAAAAAATACTGTTCATTAGTAGAAACTGTTTTTACTAAGTTATTTTTGACTTCTTAGTTCCTGGTTTTTTGGTCGTTCATAACAGTCACGAGTAGAGTGTCCTAGCTTCTTGCAGCTGTCACATTTCAACCTAGATTTCGGACAGTCTGAAGTAAAATGTCCTTTTTCACGACAGTTATAGCTTTTAAAGTGTGATTTGTCATATACTTTTCGCCCTTTTTGTGGTGGCTCATCCTGTCGACAATTCTGGAAATCAGGTTTTTGGGAACGTTTTCCTACACCCGATCTCGAAGGGTTAGGTAAGAACTTATTCACTATTCATGATGGAGTTTGTGAATGAGTAGCCCTTTCGGAAAAATGTATTCTTTTACTCAAACTACGTTGTCGTCGAAAGATTTTCACCATAAAGCTCATCCGGAGACTTGTACCTGCCAGCTCTTGCGCCAGCTTGAATAGAGGTAGGTATCAGTTATTCCATCGATAAAACAGGAGACTGCTTTCTGTCCAGTGATTTGAAAAGCACTCAGAAAGTCCATTTAGTCAAAATAATATTTTTTCCAAGTTTCGTTGGAATGCTTAATTCGGTTTACAAGTCGTCGCAAGGTGGTGGCAAAATCTTGATGTTCCGGGAAACTTTTGATGAGCAATGCTTTCCATTCTACCCAACTCATGTTATAATTATTATCAAGATTATTAGACCACTGCCTTGCAAGTCCAATCAAGCGGCTTTGCATATAAAAGATCACGGCTTTTTTGTCCCAATTATTGAGTGTCCAGCTGCTTTATTTTTTTAATCCACTTGGACATTGACAAACTCTGAGATGCACTCAGGTTATACGGGCTTTCATTTCAAAACTTGCCACCCACGTTATCTGCGTAAAGAGGCATATTCGTAGAAATCTCTGAAACACGTCAATAAAGTGATTGGGGGGGGGGGGGGGAGGTTTTTTACGTGTAACTGGACTTCCTTCCTTTAACCCCTCAACCACCAGGGCTGCCACTGGTTTTTTGATTTGCTGAATTATTTTTCCAAGACCAATCAAAGACCCAAAACAATCTAAATATCGTTTTATTATTGGTTCTTGATTTGCTGGAAATTTTTTTAAGAAAAAATCGACAAGTTTTGAGTCCAAATGTTGATCATTACCAACTTTCACAAATCTTGTAAATTTATTTCTCTTTTTTCAATCGTGCTGAGTGTTAAGTATGACGATATTGTTCATAAAACGATGATAATTTACATTTTAATACCAAACATTTTGTTCCTGGAAATATTAAAAGTACCCACAATTGATTAAAAATGATTGTTTTTAGCAAGCAGAAAAAAGAGGCAACGTGTTGCTATCTTTTACAGACAATATTGGCATATTGGAAGATGCAGCAAAGTAAGTTTCCAAACCAATACTTTAAAACTTGTTACAAATAAAGTACCTATTTTCAGGACTACAGTGGAACAACTCAAAAACGAAATCTCAACTTTAGAAGAGCGTATAAGAAAAATCAAAAAACAAATCGAACTTCCAGTAACTGAGCCCGAAATCAAAGAACAAATGACAGAGTTTCTATTGGTAACTTATTTCTATTAATTTAAAAATCCGTTTCTGATGAGCTGTTTGAATTCCAGATGGCGACAAACGATGTCTCCAATCTTCAAAAAGAGCTCAAAAAATTAGACACAGTAAGAAAACAATTAGCTGAGTTCTTTTGCGAGGATCTCAGCTCGTTTAAAATCGAAGAATGCTTTAGGATTTTCCATACGTTTACATGCAAATTTAAACAGGCTGTCATAGAGAACGAAAGAAGAAAGTACCAGGAAGAACAGGCGAATGCTAGAAAAAGACAAAGAGAGGAATTGTTGGCAGCTAAAAGAAGACAAAGTAAGTTTTGGCTTTATGTAATGATTAAAATTTGATTGGAAGATAACAAAATTTATTTTTTTTAGTGGAAAACATCAATGGTTCCGATGACGGTTTCATCGAAATGCAAATTTACGGATCTGGAATTGGAAATTCCAGGAAAAGTTTCAACGGTGAAGATGAATTTTTCGCCACATCTCCATTACTACCCAGACACCGATTGAGTTCGTTCAATGGCAACGGTATGGATAATGAAAAGGACTCGCCAGATTCATCACCAAACGGTAGTTTACGTAGAAGAAGAACCAGCAAAGGAATGATAGACGATCAAGGCAATTTAATGGACTTTTTACGAAATTCTAGCGATTGCAGTAACAGAGAGCGTAGATCTTGGGGCAGTTTGGATCGATCTTGGGCTAGAAAAGCCAAAGGAACTGGCCCCAAAAAACGACCGAATTTACTTACAGCCGATTTTTTGCTTGAAAGGGACAGAACCACAACACCATCACCGGTGATTGAAGTTAAAGGCTCTTGCTCGGCTCCCGAAGAAGAATCTTTACCAAAAATCGAATCTCGCTTGAAACACAGTGAATCAAATCTGGAAACAAAACCAAAAGACAAATCTGCCTGGCGCAAGTCTACATTGAATGTACCTAATAGTACTGAAGAAATACGTAATAGTCATCGCAGAGAAAGCCATAACAATATGGAAAACAGTAGAGTTGATATTTTGCAACCCATAATGGAAAGTAACGATAGGAAAGAGCTCATTGGTTCGTTAGGCAAAAACATGGATAAGGATAGTTTGACGTTATATATTAGGAGGCCAACGTTGGAAACAGAGCCCAAAATTGAAGTACCAACAATAAAATCGCCAGTGATAGTTCCAGTTTCTCCTGAACCTCCAATCATCTACAAACCATTCAAAGACTCAACTCTGACCAACAACAAAATCGACATCGACCAGGACAACGTGCAAACTCCACCAATGCTCAGGAAAACTTTCATTTCACCCACGCCTACAGAAAGACGTGAAGTTCCGAAGCCGAGCCCTTGCAAACGAATTTTGAATGCCGCCGCTGCGGAAAGTCGAGAATTCGATTTGGATATTATGGGCGATGGACAGTTTAATAGGTTTTCGCCTACAAGACGTACAAGACGACAAGTGTAAGTCAAAAAATTATTATTGTTTTTTTTAAATGAAATTTTGATTTGTTTATAGACGAACTCAACAAAAAAGCCCACCAAAATTGCTCAAAGAAAAAAGCCCCGAGGATGATAAAGCTCTTCTCAGCACCAGCCAGAATAGTATTTTAGGAGATTTCGTGTCTCCGGTTTATATAAAGGTAATTTTATTATTTTTATCAACAGATATATAAAGCCGACTTGTTGATTTTAGGTGGATAAAGATGAAGAAGACCCCAAAGTTGAATATACCCCATCAACAACCAAATCTAGTCGATACTCTATAAGCGATTTACCTGTGAAAGTTGACAAAACATTTTCCATAAACAGTCTCGATCCATCACCAGCAAAAACCAAATCCAATAATTCCACAATTAAAAATCCAATCTTGAGAACAAACTCGATTGTTGACAAAAACGCTAAAAATGCTAAAAACTTAGCTCCAATAATTAAACCAACCTTGAGACGTAATGTTTCAATTACCAATCCGAAAACCAAAATGTCCAATAGCTCAGAAAATTTTATCGAAGCCAAAAGTAACAACGTGAAACGTAGTGCTTCGATTTCGACAGCGCCAGTATCCAGAAGGTCTCAGCCGATGGGATTTATGAAACCAACAACTTCCAGTACCACCAAATCTAGTGCACCAACTACAAGAAGGAGTTTTTCGATAAGAGGCAGGAATTAAAGCGTTCTGCTGAAGATTACTGTATGGGTGTTTGGGAAATGATCACCGGGATGCTACTGCAAATAAATTTTTATTTTAGGAATCTTGATTTTTACTTACCAAGGTATTGAGCCAGTTGTTTTGTTCAAGTCATAATGACACAGCTAAAGATGCAGTTGATTTGTAAATTTTCCAGAAATCAAAAAATTAGGTTCAAAGTGCAATATTTATACAACGATCAATGGCACAAGATAAATTATTAATTTTTTTAGATGCATGTTCTCGACGAATTAATTTTCCATTATTTATTAGATATTATTATTGATTGAGCCAGCAAAACGAACACTAATAATTTATTAATTTATTTTTTATATTGTGTATTATTTACTAAGATGTTAACGTTAATTTTGAATATTGAATTTATATGAATAAAATGCATGTTGACAAAATCCTATTTGACTATGTTTTTGTTTTGAATTATGCCCGCATTCGAAAGGTAAACAGCTGTAGATTGCTAGTGATTCAAAAGAACTTGGGTAAGTTGCCAAGGAACTAAATTGATGTTTCCGGAAAAAGTTGGGAAAAGAAAATTCATGAACCAATATGTAGTATGAACTGAGTGAAGTTTTAATACCTTTTAAACAACAAATCTTCTGAAAAACAAATAGGACGTTGTGGAAGCTTACTCAATTTCACTTACTGGACATGTGCCCGATAGCAAGTATTTGGGAAATTTAAGGAAGTTGTGATATGTAAAAGAAACGAAAAATTTCTGAAACGTCTACTTTATTATTAAAGTAAATCGTACCGTTCTCATCCTGGAACTAACGTGGGGAAAGAGCACGGTAGAGAAACCCTCGATCTAACATTCCTCAAAAATTGAAACATATTGGGTGGTATGAATAAAAATGAGCATTCAGTTTCTACTCCAAATTTTGGAGTAAATACTCCACGTGGTATGAATAAAAACTACGAGTAGGTACTCGTATGTATAATTTGGTCTGAGTAGATTCTCACTTTTGGTATGAATAAAAAATTGTTTATGTTCTTCGGCAGGAGAATCTACTCCATAGTTTTAGAGTCTGCTATGCAGTAGACTCAACTTTCTGCTTCAAGTTATTTCAGTACCGATTTTCCCTCGGTAGAAGGCAAAGCTATGGCAGAGTATTTCAATATTAACCTGCGTATTTCAATATTAACCTAACGTTGTACCGGTTTAGTAAAGAAAATGTGGAGTGGTTATCAAATTAATTTTTGGGTGAAAAGTCTGGAGAAAGAAGAGGTGGTGCTTTATGCAACAAAGACAAATTTAAAATATTTTAAAGATACGTGAATCACCCGGGCTTTCAGGCAGGAGTAGGCGAGGATGTGTCTAACGTTGTATCGGAAGTAGCTGAGAAGATAATTCAGCAAAGTGAACGGTGGACCAAATTTCCCCGCAGTCCTGCGGATATAATATTATCCATTTACAATCCGATGTCCACGGGTACAGGTAAATTTATCACCTTTCAATGCTATTTGATAGGGAAAGGCTATAAATTTACCTGTACCTATGGACTTGTGAATAGGATATAGAGGCGAAAGAGCGGTGTGCAAGCAAAATAAAATGTTGAGTATCTACTCTATAGACTTGGAGTATGTACTCTTCAAACCGAAATCTATTTTATTCTTACGAAATGGAGTATAAGCTCAGACTTCATACTTATGCTCACAAGTATATACTCCGAGTTTAAACTCATTTTTTATTCATACCACCGTCATTTTAATAATAATTGTGAGTCAATAATTTAATAAAAGTTGAAACTAGGTACCGCCCCTGTTCTTGTGCTAAAATTTTAATTACACACACTAAATTCAATCAACACTACCTATAATCAATACTGAAAAGTTTTTTGTTACTTAGCCGGTCGGTACTGAGGTCCCATACGGAATGCTACCCAGCTATAGTTGTTATTTTGAGCCAATATCTCTTTCCTTTGTTTGGTAGGATATTCGCTCGTCAGAGTAGGAAAATGTTAGTAAATTCAACAAGGCCCTAATGTACGTTCTGAATACACAAAATCAAAATTTCCGATGCTATCATTTCTCCTTGTTCGACCCATCTCTTGATTGGGATTGGTCTTCAACCTTCGTTTCACGGTTGACATTCATTTAATTGGATGATGGAAATAAACCAAAGCTCAAAGAAGTTCTAGTTACAGACCGAGTTCTTGAAGAAAATTAAATAGCTGCTCTAGCGAAAAGGTGTTAAACTCTTTCTAACCAAAATTGAACGTTGAAGGTCACTCACTCGAATATATCACAGACGTTGCTTTTTGCTGCTGTCTTCATTGCACTGTGTGTCAAACCAAAATAGGTCCGAACGTGTGAATCATATGGTTACAAGGATGAGTAAGTGATCTTCAACGTTCAACTTTGGTTAGACAAAGTTTACCGACTTATTTATTGGATCTGCAGAGTTGATGCATTTTAAAATCTGATTCGGAGAATACCCGATGCTCAGGTGTGGTGTGTTATCAAATAATCCTTCGATTTTACTCAACTGAGAAACCCAACCTGCATGTGATCTATAACAATACGTTCTGAACAATCTGCTCAGCTCTTTCATTACTCTCTCAGTTGGATTTGATTCGGAATGACGGATGGATGAAAATGAAGGCCTAATATTATGACGACGCATAGTTTTTTGCCAATGCTTAGACTAAAATTGGGTCCATGATCACTCAAAATTACTTTGATAGGAAGAATTTTATGAAAATCATTATTAATTTTAAGTGCTGATATTTTCGCTTGCGCTCGGCGTAAAGGATATAGTCGTACGAATTTCGAGAACGAATTGTAATGATCCAGAAATTAGACCCGTAAATCACAATGTCTTTACTGTAAAAATTAAATTATATCAAATAATCAAAAACTGAATTTCCGGTATTTCCAAATCAGTATCGATAAATTAAAAATGGAACAAATTAATGTGATACCAAATACATTCGAAATTATATTATTTCCTCAGCGTGATGTCATCCTAACATCCGATCAATGAACTTTTTTTAACGAGGCCATAATAATTAAATCGAATGATTTATGGCATTCTTGAACCAATGTATTTGACCCCGATCCATCAGGATATTGCGACATAATTATTCGATTTTTTTAAACTAAGAATGATAAAAATTTCAAGGAAATTGCATCATTATTTTTAATAATATTTAGGTCGGCCAATGGGATTGTCTGATTGATGGTCAAACGACCGCCTATTGACGATTTTGGGGGATAATTAATAGTACTTTGCGGGGGGATCGATTAAATATAAATACCGCGGTTTTAGAAGTGGAAGTCAGTTGAGAGATGAATTCGCAGTCCTGTCCAGTTTGAGTTAAAATCTACAGTACCTAAAGTGTCAGTTGGAGAAAATATTCGCGGAAAGTTTCTTGTATTGCCTCGGTAACAGTCTTTGAAAAAGTAGCGAAAAATTTTGAAAGAAAGAACAATTAAATTCGTCAACATTTATGTGCGTGCTAGCTAAAAATTTTGAGTAAATAATTAAGTAATTTTACGTGTGAAAAGTTAAATGTAAGTACTTTAGTGTTTAATAATTTTCTGACTTTTATCAATGATTCTGAATGATAAGAAGTGAACTAACAAATGACTTTTAATGCCTAAAAATTTGAGTGATTTTTACTAGAAAAACTTTTTGACTTTATAATTAACTGTGGAACTTTATTGCATAAATATCAATAACTGAAAATGGACCATTATTGCATAACTTTAATTGCCTTCAGATATAATGACATTCTATTTTAATTTTGCACCAAAAATATGAAGGAAATTTATAATGCATTTAACATAACATAATAAGTATCGAATTTGAGTAGGGATTATTAAAGAATTTTGATTGGATTGTGTTAAATAATTTTGTATGTTAGCCCGGATTGCGAAAATAGAATTTGTTCTGATTAAATAATCTAGTAAATGGAAAAGAAACTTGATGTTCATGAAATAGAATTGTTGTTTTAAAATATTGGAAAGTTGTTAAAGGAAACTTATGGTTCATGAAATGAATTTTGAAATTAGGGTTTTTAAATTTCATGTAGAAATTATTGTAAGGTTTTATAAGAATAAGTTAGTAATACCTATATTAATAAACAAATAGGTAATTATTTTGGGTTTTTCATAAGCAGTCAGTTAAAGAATTTATATAAATAGGTGAAGGGTAGTTAATAGAAATGAATCGGAAGTGTTGAAATAAGTCACTTATAAGTTACTAGGAATAGTAGGAATATAGCGTTTCTTATTTAGTATGGATATTTCAGTGGTCCGTAATAATAACATTTTTTGAACGGATGGGAGGTAATTGAATTTATAGAAATAGATGAGGCTCACAGAATTGGAAGATATTTTGCTGATTAAAAATTTTTGGTTTTGTGTATTATAAAATATAATTTAGTACACCTCAATAGTTTGTTTCTCTCTTTTGCAAATAGACCCTTCCACAGATTTTAGGTAGCAGCTCCAAGTAAATAAACACCATTAATATACCGCTCGCCATTCACCATCTAACTAATTATATAGAGTACTTGGGGCGTTTTGCTACAGAATCAATTACAACAAAAATATAGGAACACCTTGAACGTCCTTCCGGTAAAGGTCCACAGTAATACACGGTTACTAATTCTCCTGGGTTATATGCCAAAATTGGATTTGACTTTCCTGCAAAGCTCCGTGAAGGAAAATTGGACTTTTGACAAATATCACAAGAACGAACAAGGATCTGTATGCGACAGTGCATATTTGGGAAGAATAAATTGGTTTCCATTATAAGGTATAGTTTCGACGTACCGAAATGACCATGCTGCTCATGATAACTTGCGATTAGAACATTAACTATATTACTGGGTTTTATCCAAATTTACTGTGAAATTGGCTCCAGCTAACTTCGTGAAGAGTCTTTCATCAAGATGTACCAAATGATTAGCGAATGAATCGGACACCACGAGTAGATCATCAATATATTTAAAAGTGAACTCAAGAACCTCCGGGCCCAGAATGACATCCATAGCTCTAGTGAAAGAAACCACTGCTCTTTCTAAACCAAAAGGCAATACCTGGAAAGTATTTGTCTTACCATTGTACAGAAACGCGGTATTCTGGGTACTATCTGGGGTCAGTAAGATAAACGTAAATCGATAGCAGTTATGCATTTGACAGTAGTGAATGTGCTTAAAATTTATTTAGGAGGAACCAGTGCTTCATGGTCTGCGGCCATATGGGAAGTTATATAACGGGCATCTAAACAAATCCTTACAGAACTGTCTTTTTCCTTCACAACAGCCAATGGACTTGCATACTGGAAAGCTTCACGTTTGATTACACCGAGTGCCAACATGTCATTTATCGCTGATTCAACTTGGGGGGCGTAAACTGAAAGGTAGGGTATTTTTATAGAAGGGATTTTATTGTGCATGTTAATTTGGTGAAAATACTTAGTAGTCCTGCCAGGGTACGTATTGAATATTACCTGAAAATATTAGTAGCAACTGCCTTTGTTCACCTGAAACCATCACAAGTGTTTGTATCTTCTGAACTAATTCCTCTCTCGAGTTTACATGTTGAGCTAGTTAAGACGTACAACAGGTTGACTCGAACTACCCACATCGACTAGGTTGCTGCTAAAAATTCCTAAATTCATGGAAATCTCTACGTTATTTACCAGACATTGAGCCCTGTCATTGAAAAAAACAGAGAAATAAAGTTTATCAACGGAAATGTGTAAAGCATTCTTCTCGAAATCAATGTGAGCATTCACAATAGCTAACCAATCGATGCCTAAAATAACCGGTTTCGCTAAATTCTTAACAACAAGGAAGGTATCGTTTAATCTACATGGTATGACTGAAAAACGGAAAGTTAACCACACTTGATGGCGTACGCGAGTGCTCAGCTGTTCCATCGAACCACGCAAATGTGTCGATGCTACTGGTAACATAGGAATAACTGTGGTGTCTTTCAACTTGCTGAAATACTCCTCACTAATACAGGTGATCTCTCTTCCCGAATCAACAAGGGCCAATATCTCAATATTGTAGCACGTGATTGGTTACATGTGGTAAGAAACGCAAATCTTTTTCCTAAAAACGACAGAGACATGGAATTACTGATAAACTTACCCCAAATTGCTTAACGCAATTTTATTTCAGAAACTATAAGTCCAAATCAGCTGAAATTTTCAAGGATTGTAGTCCTCTACTGGAATAAGAATCCCTGAAAATTTCAGCTTTCTATCTATAATAGAAAAAAAGTAATCAGTCTTCAAAATTTTTAAAAATCCCAATCATAAGGTATAACTACCTTAGTAATAAAATGATGAAATTTCAAATTAATGTATGTTGAAATTTTGTATCTAAATGATCATTGAGGACACCCCAAACTCCATGCCCTAATCAGGTGGAATTTTCGCTAGAGCCATGAGGGGCCAACCATCAGCTGCGTCCTGTATGGGAATATAGGAAAAAAATTGTATGTTCATGAGTATCGGGAGTAGCAAATTGCAAAGGTTCGGTCAAGCCACTATTGGTAAGGCCCAGACGACCATTCCCAGACTATCCAAGGCGTGAAAAAATATCCATTTCATTTTTATAAAGCGCCTTACATTCATCCATGAAAGGGGAGGACAAAATGTTAATTTTAGTGAGAATGTGTACTTGAGACAAAAAAAATGTCCTTTCAGAACAAAACGAATTAAAGGAAAGCGGGTGTAGGTGAATAACATGTTTTCACCAGAGAGGAAGTCCCTACATAGTTCCCTCTGTTCTAGTTTTCCGAAAGTTTGGGTTGATGACAACGACAGGAGGCACAAACGGGAGGAGGTGTTACTGAAAGCGGGGAGATGACATTGGCACTGGTTACAGTACTAGAGTAAAAAGAAGCAGGTCGAATAGAACGAGAGGCAGACAAATGACTGCAGAGTTAATTGGTTTGTGCTCCGAAGTGAAGCTGCTGTAGGTGGTTCGAAAACGTTTCCCGGTAATGGAAACCTGTCGTTTAAGAAATTCTAGAGCCACAGCTAGGGAACGATTTGAAATAGCAGCCCATAATGACTGAACAGTTACGGGAAACTGTCTCATCACTTCTGATACAATTTCTATGTCCGGGATTGGAGGTGAAAATAATCGGTAAGCACTAATCTGCTTCAAGAAAAATTCTGTCATGGTTTAATTTTTTTCAGGGGAGTACTTCAAAGAATTAAGACGCACGCGCTCAGAATGTGGTCGTTCCTCAGACCAAAAAAAATTAAGAAAATCTTGTTTAAAGTGTTCAAAACTTGTCCAAAAATCTTCGGTCATGTCGCTCCACTCCCACGCAGGACCTGTCAAACAATCCTTAGCAATATCAAGCGCCTGCGTAGTTGAAGCTCCTACGGATCTAACAAATCGGTCGAAACGCTTTAAAAATACCACAGGGTTGTGAGATTCTGCAGAACAAAAATTTGGCTTCTCTGCTGTAGCCGTGCGTTAGCATTGAGCTGTTAAGGCTAACGCTACATTTTTCCAATCCGCCCCTGTACTTTCATTACTTGGCAGATTTTTATTTAAATTATGATTACCTAGGTTACCAATTTTTTGGGTAAATAAATCGTAATGCCCAGTGAAATGCAGAAAGCAGTAGTTTTTTTATTTTATTTGGAGACAAACTTAAAATTGATAATTATTACACTTTTAGTACCTACACTTTACTGAAAATCAAGCCTATTAAAAACAAAATAATTAAAAAAACATTTCCACTCAAATTCCCACATCTGCCTGTCGAATAAAAAGCGCCTCCTGGTCACGGCACCAAAATCTGTAGTGTAACATACTCGGGTTCGTTCAGCAAGATTGAACGGTGTGAATTTTTAATACCCTTTAAACAACAAATCTTCTGAAAAACGAAATGAAAAACAAATAGGATCTACGTTGTGGAAGCTTACTCAACTTTACTTACTGGACATGCGCCCGACAGCAAATATTTGGGAAATTTAAGGGAAGTTGTGATGTATAAAAGAAACGAAAAATTTGTGAAACGTCTATTTTATTATTAAAGTAAATCGTACTGTTCTCATCATGGAACTAACGAGGGGAAAGAGCACGGCAGAGAAACCCTCGATCTAACATTCCTCAAAAATCGAAACATACTGTGCCATTTTAATAATAATTGAGAGTCATTAATTCAATAAAAGTTGAAACTAGGTACCGCGCCTGTTCCTGTGCTAAAATTTTAATTGCACACACTACATTCAAACAACACTACCTATAATCAATACTGAAGAGTTTTTTGGTTAATCAGCTGGTCTGCCAGAGGGTACTGAGGTCCCATACGGGATGCTACCCAGCTATAGTTGTTATTTTGAGTCAAGATCTCTTTCCTTTGTTTGGTAGGAAATTCGCAAGTCAGGGTAGGAAAATGGTAGTAAATTCAACAAGGCCCTAATGCACGTTTTGAATACATAAAATCAAAATCTCAGCACAAAAAGACAGCACATAATTTCTTAGGTTTTAATTTACCTCTTTATCTGTGTTGTTTACAGCTTACAGCAGGAAACTTGATTTGACAATCAAATCTAATTACTAATAAAGGAAATTGGAAAATCCACAACGGCGGATCTAAACGTCTTACTTGGTTTTCCCTCTTCTGTCTTCTACCCTTTCGGTACCCAAGCTCTCTCGTGGCAGCGCGGCGTTCCCTTTCTCCCCTAAACCTAAACTTCACCGCGCATTACATGGTTGCAATATTTATTTTTATTCAGTAAACGTTTATTTAAAAAGTTGAGATTTAAAGAAATAATATTTCAAATAGGTGGTTCTCCTCAACTATTTTCAGAAATAGAGCCTCAAGAATCACTATTTTAGGGTATGTGCTGTCGGTTTGACCATAACGAGATCACCCTATTCTCCCCGCCCTCCTACCTGTGACCTTATTCCTTTGTTTCCAGTTTCCATAAGTACTAAAATGAAGCCGAAATCTATGGGAAATGACATTCAGAGAAATGGAATTACTGATAAACTTACCCCAAATTGCTTAACGCAATTTTATTTCAGAAACTATAAGTCCAAATGAGCTGAAATTTTCAAGGATTGTAGTCCTCTACTGGAATAAGAATCCCTGAAAATTTCAGCTTTCTATCTATAATAGAAAAAAAGTAATGAGTCTTCAAAGTTTTTAAAAATCCCAATCATAAGGTATAACTACCTTAGTAATAAAATGATGAAATTTCAAATTAATGTATGTTGAAATTTTGTATCTAAATGATCATTGAGGACACCCCAAACTCAATGCCCTAAATTATTCTGATATTTGAATCCGAAATCTATGAAAAAAGGCACAGAAGAATTGAAAAATTAAAAATTTACTTCAAACTGGTTAACGCAATTTTATTTCAGAAACTATAAATCCAAATGAGCTGAAATTTTCAGGGATTGTAGTCCTCCACTTGGATAAGAATCACTGGAAATTTCATCTTTCTATCTATAATAGAAAAAAGTTATGAGTCTTCAAAGTTTTTCAAGATCTAAATCACAAGGTAACTACCTTTTTACTAAAACAATGAAATTTCAATTTTTTTTTTGTTGAGATTTTATGTCCTAATGGTCATTTGGGATCCCTCAAAGTCCATACACTAAATAATTATTCTCAGATTTGGAGCCAGATTATATGAAAAAAGGCACTCAGAAAAATTGATAAATCACCCCAAATTTCTTAACACGATTTTGTCTCAAGAACTATGACTCTAAATGAGCTGAAATTTTCAGGGATTGTAGTCCTCTACTGGGATAAGAATCAATGAAAATTTCAGCTTTCTATCTATAATAGAAAAAAAGTTATGACCTTTCAAAGTGTTCCAAAATCTAAATCATATGGTAGACCTTCGTAGTAAAATGATGAAATTTCAAATTTTTTTATGTCGAGATTTTGTATTTAAATGAACTCCATACATTAAATTATTCTGAGATTTGAAGCCAAAATCTATAAAAAAGAGGCACTCAGAAAATTGAATAACCAAAAAAACTCAATAAAGATGATGAGCTTCAAATCCTCACCAGAACCTGCAAGCAACAGTTTGGAGAATGAATACCAGAAACTGGGTTTCACGATGCATTACCTTCAGTTCAACTTATCCAAGAAGCAGACCATCAGAAGAAGCAATTAAATAAAAATGGAGATCTTCAAATCATTACGAAGTTTCTAATTAAAAAACACCATCAATTTTTATTATATCACAAACCATTACCTATACAATAAATTAAAATCAGAAAAAAAATATAATCCTACTTCCAAACCCTCTTTTTCAATCTCAAATACGACCCGTCAATAGGCCTCGTCGAAATATCCATTCTTATCCTCAAACTAGGAACATCGCCGTCACATTCGATTTCGTAATGTTGCAACAGGTTACAAACGAAAACTTTCAATCCTGTATTGGCCAGAATTTTCCCTATGCACCCTCTCGGACCCGCACTGAAAGGTATGTAAGTATAAACGTGTCGTTTAGCCACGGCCTCTGGCAAAAAATGTTCCGGATAAAATTCGTGCGGCTTTTCCCAGTATCTCGGGTCTCTTTGTAAGTTGAAAATCGGTATCACTAGGGCGCAACCTTTAGGGATTGTCCAGTGGTCCAATTCAAAATCTTCGGTGCATTGTCGGAGGATTATCGGTGCTATTGGGAATAATCTTAAAACTTCTTTTATGCACATATCAATGTAACATAATTTTGGTATGTCTTCTGTTGTTACTTCTCGAGGAGTTTCTCCAAAAATTGTTCTGATTTCTTGTGCAGCCTTTTCCTAATACAATAGACTAATAGCTATGAAATGTTTTTATTAGGTAAGTAATATTGTTCTTACTTGACATTCAGGATACATTCCTATGCACATTGCCAAAAAAGATGAAGCTATTGTTAAAGTGTCTTCAGACTAAAATTTTAAAAGATAACTATTAGATGATTTTAATGGCCTTAAATTACTTACTGCCGTATACAATGTCAAAACGTGATCGATGAAAGTCTCATCCAAAACTCCCGGATGCTCCAAAGTATAATCTGCCATTCTGTCAATGATAGGATAAAATTCTTGAGTCAAAGATGATGACTTTCTTCTTTCAAATGCCGCGTCTGTCATCTCCTTTGCCTTGGTTGTCACGATACGTTTCAATTCGTCTTGTCGCTTTTTCAATGGACTCATATTGAAAAGAAAGTCAATTTGTTGCCAATACTTGACCATTCTTGTAAAGGTAAAATCGTATGCACTAAAAGAATTGAGTTTTACATTAACCCGAGTAAGTATCGGACCAATGAAAGAGAGAAACTTTGAATTCTGTAAATTTTTCCCTTAGGGAAATGAAAATAGAAAGGCAAGCTTTAAATTTTGTATTTTAAAATTCTAAACTTCCAAAAAGTGTCTCATGATCAGTGTAATGCTCGCAACTACTTACTCTAACATTGCCTGATCAAAGTCGCTAGTTCCAATTATTTGAGTTCTTTCGTTAGACCCAAGTACGGTTTCTACAAAACATTCGCTTTTCAATTTCAAGAACTAAACCTTAGAGAAACTTATAATTTGAACTTGCGCATGCGTAGATTCGAATCAAACCACGCATGAGTAAACGCAAATTTAATGTAACTTCAATTCAAAAAAGTACCTTTTATTATATCAGCCATACAAGGATGGATAGCGTGGAAAAAATCGAAGTTTCCTTTACCGACGTGAGGCTCCAAACGTTGCATGCATAAATCGACGTGTTTGTGCATGAAACTTGTACATTCTTTGGCAAACTTCAAATCGAACATTGGCTGGATAATCCTACGGTGTTTTTTATATATTGGGCCTGAAATTAATTAAACAGTTCAAATCAAGGTTTTGTTATAGAATTTGATAATGTGAGACAAAAACTGGGAAAATTTGGTTTGTTTTCATGGATTGGGACAAAACTGCAGAAGAAGAAAAAACAATAGAAGTTGCAATCAGAGGATGTTCTTACTAATACAAAAAAGTCCTTTCTTTTATGTTAGTACTGGTCAGAGTACAATGGGCTTCAGCTGAATGTTAATATTATTCTCATCAATACTTATTTCAAGAGGGCCAAAATGTATAGGTAACGTAATTTTTATATAACTATCCCTTTAACATGCGTTGTCAGCATCAGTTCTCTGTCTTAATTTTTGTCTATTGCCGGCTCTTGAATTGTTTATTTCTAAATATCTTTACATGAAGTAAATTCAAGAGCCTGGAATAGAAACAACATATAGGTACTTAAGTCTACGTATCTACTCCATATGCCTTTCAATTCTCAAATTTTTGTCTATTCCCGGCTCTTCAAGAGTCTCTTAATACATATGAAAAACAGTTTATTTACTTTCTAATAAACTGTCAGGCAAGCTGTCAGGTAATGCAATCTGACGGATAAAAACGCAATATGTAATTCCATTGGTCAACCAATTATCCAGTGACCAACAGGAATATGGATCTGTAAATTTATCTTGCAAATAGTTTTAACCAAAATTCGACGTCGGAAAGAAGTTGCAAAATATGACTTGTTTGGGACGTCACGTAGTGGAGGTTTATCTGACCATGACATGAACCAACAGGTTCAAAAGTTACCATGTAAAATCCAATATGACCCATTCAGAAAAAATACCCCGTATTAAGACGTCTATGAAGCGTCCATTTGACGTCGTTGAATTTGAATTGGACGTTTATTTGATCAGTGTGGATCGATTGAAAAGTTATATATCTACATAGTAACATCAAACTTTGGTAATACCAGTAAGTATATATTATTATCAGATGTATAATAAGTATACAGTGGGTACCTACATAAAAAAATGATAATTGTTTTGCACTAAGTGGTTTTGGTAATTTTTGACACTGGAATAATGATCATTCTCAAAAGGTTTTTCATCACATTTTCGAAACAATTTAAAATTGGTCTTTTGTGCATTTCAGCAAGTAAAGATGGAAGGATTTGTTTATCTCAATATTATTATACCTACTTCACCCTATACTTGATGAATCATCACTGAAGTAAGAAAAAAAGGGACCAGGGTAATTTATACAAGCTATTGTACCTTTCTTTTTTAATCTATTTTTATATTCGTCATTCGGCAGTAGACTATTGTGGAGGAATAAGCTATTAAAAAAATAATAATTATATACCTAAGCCATAATATGATCCTAACTGCCCTTCAAATCAGAATTTTGGTAAGCTACTTCTAGTTGAGCATGTTTGTTATGAGACTTTAAGCATTTGGCTTTAGATGTTTTCAATAACTTCCTCTTAACAATTGAAGTTGCGTTTCACTGATATCCAGGGCAACAAATCATGGTTTGATTATTTCTTTTTGGTAATTGGTGTCCCCCAGGGAAGCCGTCCGCCATAATAGGTTAGGGTCTCATTTGTTACATGATTATACTATTAAAGGTAAGTGTAGCAGTGGGGCACTACCGAATACCGGCGAGAAATGGTTGAATTATGATTTGCTGTTGGGTGTCAGCTGCACAACGTGGTTTCAAGGGAATTCAGTCTAATGGGGCTTTAATAGAATAGCTGAATGCTCTTCAACTTTGCCAGGCAAAATTGTTTTTGTGTTTTTCAGATGAAGACTCAAGTGATCACGTTCTATATTGTAGTTGAAATGAAATGGTCACGCCTCTAAAGAGGAATATAAAACCTTTCGAAGAATGTATCACATGGGGTAGTTTCTTATTTTGGAAAAATCATTTGGGAAAGGGCAAGACAGGAGGGGTAGGGCTTAGAGAATAAACACATTTGGTTTTTCCGATGTGTATTTGACACTTTTATGACAGAATGGAATTTTATTTGGAAATCTCAATATTAACTATCTCGGTAAGCAAAAGCGGTACTGGAACAAAATTTTCAGGAATTGTACCTCTTGAAAAGGGCTTCCAGATGGTGTTTAGCTGAAATCGCTAGCATTTATAGTTTTTGAGAAAATCGAATTTAAAATTTTGAACAAAATGTTAACTAAATCTCCACTTTGAGGCCCAATATCTTGGAAGCTTTACAAGCTACAAAAACCCAATTTTGCACAGGTATTGTAGAGAATTTATTACACTTTTCAATGATGTATTAGTTATTATTACTTTGCTCAAAAATAATCGAAGAACAATTGAGAAACCTCAGAGTTATTTTAGAACAATTATTTAATTCAATTCAATTTTAGTGTTTCCAGAAAGTAATTTCTGGGTTGCGCAGTGACTGTTATAAGTAGTAGACACCTTTTTTTTATCGCTCCAAAAAATTGAAGAAATCTCGTTTAATTAAGAGGGAAAATAGCCAAACATTAGAACAATTAGGAATCCATTTAGAACTGGAAACCTTTTAGAGCTCTATTGAACCTATTCAGAATATTTTGCAGCTTCAGAACAATTTAGAAGTTACTAAAAAACTTCCAAAATGCTCCAGAACTCTCCAAGCCAAGTTAGAACACTTTAGAACTTCAATTTAGAACACTTTCCAGCGACATTTTGAACAGTTCAAAAACCTCGGAATTATTTCAGGGAGCCTAGCGCCTGGAATAGTTAAAAATTGAAAGTTATAATCAAGAACTGTTCCACAACCGTCTCAAGAACGGTTTCGAAGCCACTTTGTATACGATTTTCGGATTCTAGGCTTTGCGCCGAAATTTGACGGTATACTTTGTACAGTTTTCTGCTTTGTTGGAACAAAGCTAAAATAAACTTTTTAAAACAATTCAATACTAATTCGGCCCTGTATAGCTAGAAACAGATGATTTTTACACTTGCCGTCGGAGTCACAGATTAACAACTAGAAACAACAAATACAACAGTAAACAAATAATTTGCAATCCAACATCCATAAACCTTAGTTCTCATGATGCGGAATTCCGGATTGCGGGTGCGGAATTTTTGAAATAATTCCGTTGGCGGGAAAACGTCAACTTTCTTGCGATTTTTTTTTTTCTGTCTTTGTCTAAACATTTCTCATCTTTGTTTGATTTCTACATAAACACATAAACTAACCTCAAACATCAAACAATAATACCTAACAAAAATAAACTGTCTGCTTGTGTGTTTGTTTTATTTTTATAGTAGATTATACCACGAATCAATAATGATAGCTATTATTCCCGAGGAATATTTACGAACTGAGCCGCGTTAGCGGCGAGGGAGTAAAATTCCGAGGGAATAATAGCCATTATTGCGAGTAGTATACTCTACTTTATTTACGACAAATTAATTTATTTGAAATTTCCTTTCTATAAACGCTCTTTGTTCATCCATCTCAATACAAATACACAAGCACTACGCGTTTGACACTGACACTTTTGAGTTTGTCCAGGGCCCGTATTCTCGTCACCGGGGAACAGCGTTCTCTCAAGAGAACGATTGCTCTGTCTTAATTACCCATATTGTTATTTCCATAATACTGACAAAGACAGAACAATTGTTCTCTTGAGAGAAGGCTGTTCCCCGGTTACGAGAATACGGGCCCAGGTATATTGTTTCCATGGTACCTAGTACTACTTATTTAATTTGAGAAATTTTGTGATTGGTGTGCAAGCGGGAATAATGACCATTAATCCCTGCGGGAATAATATATGGCATTATACTGCCAAAATCACAAATATAATACTTACATTATATGCAAGTCGTAAATAAAATACATATTATTACGGTAAACTCCTTGTTCATGTCTTTTCAGAAGAATATTTCTGAGCAACATCTTCTTTTTAATATTCCTCTGCTTCTTTGGAATCTTTGGTATGAAGTTTCATGCATGTTATGGATTAATAGCAAACCCAATACTAATGTATTTGTCTTTTCCATTGATAATAATTTAATTGAGGAATATAATTATAATCCAGGTACACAAGAAAACAAAAACAAAAAATATTTTAGGTTAAGATCACTCGTATTTGACATAAAACCGCATCCGGAATTCCGTTTCATGTCAACCACCAAAAGTTACGATTTTCAAAAAACTGCGATTTCCTGACCCGCAATGCGGAATCCCGCACCATGAGAACTAGGCTTGAGGTCGATTTTTGCATGAAATGCCTGGTTGCCAATTATCCGATGTAATTTTCAATATTAAATGTCTTCACGGATAATTATTATTTTAAAATATGTTTTAACATAATGTAAATGCTTTTTTATATCAATCTTTGTTGAAACATAATCTAAATGCCTTTTTGGAAAGGATAGTTATGGCCGTTTGCACCGACCATTTCAAGGAAGCCTTAGCGATAAGTATTCCTTAAAGTGAGATTTCTCCATGTAAAAATGTCATTTTAAGGAGAACTTATCGCTAAGGCTTCCTTAAAATGGTCAATGCAAATGGCCATTAGTCTTTTTTTAATTTAGATTGGTGAGAATTCTAGAATAACACAGGAATATATTACTCGAAAAATGGTACATCGGCAACGTTGCATCTATATGAGCAGCCAATTAGATGATCTTATGTGACTTATGTCATTTAAACGGATTTGGCAGTGTTGCTGTGAAGTGATAGAGCTAATTTTGTGATTTTGAGTGTTAATCAGTGGTAATTTTGGATTTAAAACCGTGGAAACGTTAAAATGGTACGTCGATGTATTATTTGTAATGATTCCAAGCACATTTCAATATTTCGGCGGTAAGAAATTTGACATAATTTTACTTTTGACATTGGCGTAGTTAAAGGATATTTATGGTAATTTATTGTGAGTGAAACTTCTATTGAATTCTGGGAAAAATTCAGAGGAAACTGAACACGCTGCCACTGAACAGTGTTGACGTTTTATAGGTCTATCTCTCTTTCTTTCTCTCACTTATGTCACGGACTCAAAGATGATGGATTGTAAA